GGTGTTCCCTCTGAAAAGGATGCTCTGCCACTATTTAGTTGTGTGACATGCAGATCACTTTCTTCAGGCCTCAGGTTCCTCAACTATAAAAGGGGGGTGGGGGGAAACTGAACTTCTAATATTTTTAAAAGTTCCTTCCAGCTATTAAGATTCTGTGAGTTCTCAGTGCTGGCTAGGTAATTTTATAACAATAGGAAAAGGGAAAAGTCTCTTCACATAGTGATTGAGTCTTGACTATTTTTAATGAACTTGATAAGAAAATACTTTTCTTAATCAAATAATGGAGGGAGGACTAAGTTTTGAATTATTTTAAAACAGGATTTTTAAAGTACATAATGTAAGTAAAATGAATTACGTAAGTAAACAACATTTTGCAACTAAAGCAAGGTAGGATGAAGCACATTAATTCTTCCTGGTTTCAGCTTACTGTGGAAATTTTCATTTGCCTGAATATAAATGTAATGGCATAATTTTCCCCCCACCAGGGGTGCTTCTCCAATACCAGCAATACAGAAATATTAAAGTACATTCTAATATGTGTTTATCATGTTTATCATTCACTGGAATAGGTGACATTTCACTTATTTTCTAGAAGGGAAAAATAAATCATACAAGTATGCCTTTTCTGTGTTAAGAAAGTGAATATCCATCATACCTATTAGTAATGCCTCTCATTTCAAACTATGATTAACCTAGTCTTTTTCAGTAAAACAAACTTAGTTTGATTTGAATTTATTTACTTTAGCCATTGTGTTGGTTTCAGAAAGTGAAGTAAATCTTTTTCAGTATCTTCATCTAGCTTTCCTTTTGAAGGATTTTAAAACCATTAATGCAATAAACCATATTCACAAATGTTTAAAAACTTAAAACTTTACTCATGCCCATACGCATTACTGTACTACCTGGGTTAGGAGTGTTGGCTTAAGATTATAGAGGTACACTTGAGGGAGATGGTCTGCTTGCTGTACCCTCTTTTCTAGACTGTTAAAGTCAGTTAATGAGAATAATTGTTTAGCTCCTGCTACCTTGTATTTAGGTAAAGAAGATAGGAATGGGTTTGAAACTTCATAAACTTGGCTTGGAATCTCTCAAAATACCTAGGTGATTTTTCTTTCATACTGCCTTCATACCATAGAAATACAGGTCAGATCATTTTCTAGGTAGATGTTCTTGCAATGGACCAGTCCAGGCAGGTCTCAAAATCCACCCAACACAGATCAAGCATCAGAACTAGTCAAAGTTAGTTTTTCCAAGACACCATTGAAGTGGAAAAAATCGGAACAAATTGGAAGTCTAAATTTCATTTGCCCAATTCACAAGGGTATTTTACAGAGTGTTTTGTTACCATCATCCTTTACCTTCATTTTTCCGCTTAATTTTTCCTGTATAGATATGGGATGTTAGGCTATCAATAGAGCCCTTTTTACATTCACAATCTTGTTTAAGAAGTGGTATTTTTGTCTTTTGTAATTTTTCATAGGACCCAGTACAGTGCTACATAAGCAATATAATTTTGATGATGAATTGACTGCCAATACCACAGCTGACCTGGTAAGGCAGAACCTGAGGTGGCTTTGTAGGGATCAGCCAAACAGCCAGAATGACTTGGGTAGTTGCCCAGAGCTACTAAACAGGACCAGATTCAATATGACCCTTTAAAAAGCATACTGAGCCATTTCCTACTGCCAGTCTCTACTTTCTGTTGTTTCCTGGGGATATGAATGTGATTGTTTAAACTTTGTTTTGCAAAACCCCACTTTAGATAGGTGGTAGTCTCACCTGATTAAATTGAGGACTTGCTCAAGAAAAGGCTGAGGTATGGGAAAGAGTGGTTTCTATTTTCTTGTGTTTGTAATTGCCAAATTTTCTGTTTATATTGTTCTGATGTAATTAATTTAAAAGCCTCATAGTTGTTAAATAAAATTAGACCTTTTGTAAATAAAATAATTTATTAGAAAAAGGTATTGCAGCTTTTACTAAATGAAGTGGATATGCGTCTTTTTCTTTTCCCTCAAAGGCCTTCATAGATAGGCCTGTGGTGTCCTATCTCTACTGGTCACTGGTTATTTTGCACCTTTCCAGTGGATTTGGTTTTTTGTTATTGAGTGCAGCTATTTTAAAACAGAATGAACAAAAAGAGGTCAACTGTGTTCCTGTAAATATTGGAACAGGATTCATGGGCCACTCCTCTTAAAGAAGAGGACACTCAGGCCTAGAGTGCTGAAATAAATGGCAGCCTGTGAGGAGCTGGGATTATTTCTCTCAATTTCATTTCTTCCACTAGGCTATGTGAAATAAGTAGTGCTTCTTTGTGGTAATAAGGGCAAAAAGCTGGCTTCAGTTGTTGGGATACTTCAAACAAGCAAGAACCAGATGCACGGCTAAACTTGACAAAAAGTAAAATTTAAGTATATTTCAGCTAGTGTTAAATGGCATTATATACAGTTGGAACTGTTCATAAATGTAAATCAAAATTTTGGTGACAGTTTAGTTGCCTCTGTAGGAATAGGTGAATTCCAGCCAAATTAACTGTGTAATCATATTTTACCACCACCATCTGTAGGAAGATTGCAGGTGCCCTCCAGTGGGGAGGGGGGGTGAGGGTGGAATTCTAATGAGAAAAAAAAAAAAACAGCCTGCTGCAGGGACAGATCAATATACACCAGTAGTGTAGGGTAAGGAGATGTCCCCAGGCAAACAATGTGTTCCTATTTGCTATGATCAAGAAAAATGGGAAATAGGAAGGCCTAGTAGTGATTAGGAGAGGATCCTGGATCCTGTGTTTTTATTTGGGTTTGGGGGGGGGGTTTAGGCAATTGGGGTTAAGTGACTTGCCCAGGGTCACACAGCTAGTAAGTGACAAGTGTTTGGTCTGAGGCTGTATTTGAACTGTCAGGTCCTGACTTCAGGGCCGGTGCTCTATCGACTGCGCCACCTAGCTGCCCCTTTGTTTTTTAAAGAAACAAACAGTGACTGTTAAATAGCATATCAGTATGCTGTAAATAGATTTGCCACTATATAGTTCAACCTCTTCACAGTATGTTTGCCTTGAAGTTTCCTCTTTGCTATTTAGCCACCTGTCTCCCTGACTATAGGCACTTTTCCCATATCCAGGATTATCTGGCTCCACACTTGCCTCTTACCCTCCCTCGCCCACACCACCACCTTTCTCTCTGATTTAGTCATACTTCCCTTATTTGGCAAAGTTCTATCTGAATTTTCCAGATGTGTTGTTTATCTAAGCAGCAAAATTGTCTATCATCTCAGACATTTTTCATGGAACAATTTTTAAATATTACATTGTAGCTTAAAAAGTATGAACCTTTTGTATTGCTCAGGCTCATCATTAGCCAAACACATTAATGTCTTCAAATCCTTTTCTTTTAAAGGCTCTTTTTCTTCTCATCCAGCAACCTCTTCCATTTTGTCACATCCCCACCCCATTCTCCCTTAACCCTTTGCCATGTGACTCTCTGTGCCCCTCTCACTGCACTACCAAAATTTCATCAAAGACCCCCTAATTGCCAGATCTAATGGTGTATTTCTACAATTCTCAATATACTGGACATTCTCCCCTTGGTTTCAGAAGCACCACACTGCTAGTCCTGTTTTTACAGAAGTACTCTTTGTGGACAGCTCATTCCCTTCCTGACATCCTAAAATGGATGTTTTGTCCTTGGTTTATTTTTCCTTAATGGTGATCTCAATCCCTCTCAAAAATTATCAGATTATCACAGGTGATATACATCCCTAATCTTTTCGTTTTTAAGCTCTATTAACTCACAACTGCCCACTCAACATGTCCACAACTGAACTCATTTACCTTTCAACTTGCCTCTCCAGCTTCCCTGTTTCTATCGATTGCACTACCATTTTCAGTCACCCAGCCTCAAAAATCAGTTACCCCCTTGCCCCTTCCCTTTCCCTCACCTCTGGCATCTAGATCCCGTCTTCCACAACCTACTGACTTTATGTACATAAGAGTACTCACATTGCCACTATCCCAATTGAGGTCCTCTTTTTCTTCCCCCCAACTATTGTGCTAGCCCAATTGGCGGAAGTCCAGTGTTCCATCTTTCCCAAAGCTGCTAAAATCATCTTTTAAATTAATGCTCAGCTTTGATCATGTCACTTGACTCCAAAAAACCAATGGCTTTTGTTTTTTTGTTTGTTGTTTTGTTTTTGTTTTGGAATAAAAATCTTCCTGAAATGCACTGCCAGGGCAGCTAGATGGTGCAGTGAATAGAGCACCAGCCCTGGATTCAGGAGGACCTGCGTTAAATCCAGCCTCAGACACATAACACTTACTAGCTGTGTGACCCTGGGCAAGTCACTTAACCCCACTGCCTAACCAAAACACAAAAAAATGCACTGCCTCTATATCTTTACCTGTCAAAATCATCTTCAAGAGTGCTACCTCCTCTATGAAACCTCTAATCTCATAGGTAAGTATGTTCTTTGCTCCTTCAGCATTCTTAGATTATTTGGTATTTCCTTTTATAGCGTAATTTGTGTTATACTTATTAAATACATTACATCTATCCTCAGTAGAATGGAAAATCCTTGAAAGCAAAGGATTCATTTTTATCTTCTTATATCCCTAGCACCAAACACAGTGCCTTACACTTAGATGATTAACTGGGACTCACTGAAGTTTATAACATGATCAACTTCCTTTCTACTTTGTAACAGTTTCTAGGACTGAACTGCTTTTTGCTCCTAAGTTTTCACATATGCACAAAACACCTCAAGACTTCTTTTGTCTTCTGTTTGAGAGAAGTAGGAAGGCAGGTGACAGATGAAAGAATAGAATCAAAATTTTTAGACACTGGGTCACAAAATATCACAAAAACCACAGTAGACGGGCAAGAAATTAGCAACATCCTATCTTAGCTATTTTCTCTGCAGCAGTTTGACATTGGAAGGGTGAGAGGACTTGGTGTCTTGATGCTAATGATAAGCACCCTGCCCCAGTATTCTGACCAATAAAAAGCAATGCATTGCTGTATAGTAGTGTAAATAGTTTATTTGCTCATATGCCATGAACAGACCAGAAAAGTAACATGAACTGCTTTATAAAACACTTCTAATATTGCTAAGAAGCAGGCCCATTACAAGAAAAACAAAACAAAACAAGAAGAACACGCCAACATTACAGTCCATTCTAACTGTGAATAATAAATACATGTGATATGGAAATTCATTTGTATGTTAGCAATGAGCTTTAGAACACTTGTGTGTTTGACTATAAGCCAATAATCTGGATTCCATTTCATAGCTAAAATCATTGCTTCTTAGGTACAGTATCCAATCAATGTCAGCAGACAGACACAATCTTGGCATGTTCTTTTGAGAGCATGTAGAATACACATGTCTGAAGATGTGCTAGAAGGTGGCAATTTGAAATGAAACTTTCTGTAAATAGGTAAGCAAAAAAATGTGACAACTTTGATCCCTCAACTGTCCTCGTTAAATATAAAAAACAAACTATAAGTTAAAATAACATTCAGATTGTATAGCACAGGCTGATGCAGTTTTTTAAACAATATTTACAATATTACCCAGAGGCTAAAGTGGGAATTAAAAGAGGTGTAAAAACCATAAAAAACGGCACCAATTTTGTAGCAAAATATCTGTACATTTAAAAACAGATTATCATATAACTACACATCATCCAAGGAAAATGAGACCTTCACCGGGGATTCACTGAAGCACAACATAAAAGAAAAGGAATTCAGTGGTTAAATACTATACAACAAATTTTACAATTAACATATTGATGAAATGCTACCAAGAAAGGTAAGCTGGAAGCAGAATTTGTCTTCCAAAATGACAATTTCAGCTTCAGTCCAGATCTTGACTTTGGACTAAATCAAGTGCCCTGCCCAAGAAGAAGCCAAGTAAAGCAATGGCTTGCCCTGTACCTGCAGAGTGAGCTTGGCTTGCCTTTCATTCTCATTTTGCATATGCCTTTCCCTCACTGCATCCAAATACGTATTTCCCAACAAATCAATCCCCAATTCCCCCTAAAATATCCCAGAGAGGGAGCATTAGACTAGCCTTTGGAATTTCTTTAGGTCCAGCAGTCAAATGCACCCCTCACCTCCATTTAAAAAAAACTAAAAACCTTAAATGCGATTGTCAAAGGAGAACTACTCAACTCAGCACTCTGCCAATGGAAGATGCAATCTGAATGCTCGTCAATGGGCTTAGGAAACTTTCTGACAAGGCACATGACTATTCACTGTGCTCAGAACTGAACCATAATGGTCCTTGGAGATCCTAATACTGATTACTGAGATGTTAATAGCTTAATGCTAATTAATAAATATACTTTGTGTTACCTATAAGCTGCCTCTCTCTGAAGAACATAGAATCATAAATGTGTCTTGCATGATATTCCCATTATTTTGTGTAGCACTGCAGTCTTACCCTTCAAATCATCCCTCATAGGGCATTGCACAGAAAAAGTCATAACGTGAAAATGAAGACTAACTGGGTGAATCTTCATGTGTTAATAAAATCACATCCTCTTTATACTTCACCAGGATTTGGCTGTGACTGGAAGGAAAAGCCTCTCTGAGAATAATAGTTTCCCTCACATAGCAACAAACCTTTTGATATACAACCTAGAGAGAATTGCTATTTGAAGCTCAAAATAAGTTCCTTATTAGACAGCACAGAGACATACGTAAATACCAAAAGGGATCCACAGCAGATCTCACCCAAATATTTGTTATTTACAACCTGTCAAGAAACCAAAGTGGGCCATAAGACAATCATTAATTTGCAGATAACAAAAAGAAGATAACATGACATTTACATTTTGGTTAAAAACACTGAATAACATATTGGTGTAAAAAGATACCCAATCAAATCAAGTCCTATTGCTTTGATTAATTTGAGCAGGTACTTTCATCTTAGGCACTTGTTAACTACAGTTGAATGGAGAGCCCATCTTTTTAATTTTATCTTTAAAATTCCTATGCAATTTTGAGGCCTCTTGGCCCTTCAGAATGTAACTCTATTCAAGGCTGCATTCAAGGGTAGCCGGAAGAGTTCCCACAGCCATGGTTATCACTGAAGTACACCCTCCACTTTACACATGCAGGCAGGTCTGGCTCACATGGTTATCTCAGCACCATTAACAGGGCGCAAATTCTGATCATCAAAGCGTCGCCGGACACTTCTCCTCACCGCATCGGCTCGTCTGTATGGCTGGTTTCTAAGATCTGTAAGAGGGAAAAAGCCAGTCAGAGGGAGGTGGTCTTCATGCTATGTGTCTAGACAAAACAAAGTCCTGCTGGCAGCCAATCAAAGCAGCTTGTGTAGAAAGATTAGACAAACAGCCTTAAGCTCATTGAGCTTAAGTGAGGCCAATGACAAAATGAACTGGTTCTAGTTTAATACTGGCAGGCTATGGGCTTTTGGGAGGTAAAAATTGTAGATTTCAGTCACTGGCTGGAAAGTCTAACTTCCATATTTTGAAATGTAGCAACAACTGGAAACAGTTGAAGCTTTAAATAAACAATCCCAGAAACAGATAATCTGGTTACAAGTCATTGTAATGTGGGTAAAGGTGACCAAAAAAGAAAAAGAAAAATGAATTACTTTTCCCCCTTAAGATTAGAGTCAATGGTGGACTTACTGGACACCTCAGCTTGTAAGCAGTCTCTCATGCATGTGATTTACTTAAGTTTCCCAAGTTACCAAAGATCACTGGACAAAGAAACTGCTCCCTGTTCTAAGGGGCAGCTTCTGCTTGAAATGGATGGCACATGATAGAAGTTGATCTTCAAGGTCTGAAATCTGCCCCAACCCTAGATTCTACCCTTTCACAGGAGGAAGGATTCAAATTTCTTTAAGTTGATCAGCTCTGAAGCTTTATGGGGACCATATTTAACAAAATCTTGATTAACCAGAACCTTGGATTAAATTGGATTTTTCCTTTGTGTTTAATTTTAAAAGAATAAAAAGGCCAATGAGAAGAAAACAAACTCACATCAGTGATGTATTTTTAAAAAGCAATGGCCAAGTTACGGCCTAAGGTTGGTGCACATTCGGCCCAATGTGCTACTTCCTATAAGACAAAAGAACCTGTTTGCCTCAGTATCCTCACTATAAAATGAAGACAATAATAGCTGCTACCTCCCAGGGCAGTTGTGAGGATCAAATGAGATACTAACTGTAAAGTGCTTAGCACCAAGCCTGGTACATATTAAGTACTTTGTAAATGTTGGCTATCATCATCATAATTATTGTTGTTACTATTATTAACTATACACTAGTTATCCATGGCACCACAGTGTCTTCAATGAGCAAAGAAAGATTCCACTGTCTTTGCTATATCATAATTAAGGCAGGAAATTCATATTAGAAAGATATTCAATAAAAAAGTTTGATATCAAAAAAAGTTGGGAGAGACTGTCAGTCTTCATTTACCCAGAAAATTCCAATTAATACCAACTAATACCAATATTCTGGTTAATCAGTAGTTTGCTACAGCTAATAATTTGCCAGCCATCGATGTTTATTTCTACATAGGCATATGTATATACAGTTCTATGTCTTTCTATCAAAGTGGTTGGTCATCATAAGGCATGGTTATCAGGCTAAAGAAGAGGAATTTATGGGAGCATCCTCAGAAGGAGATGATGCGACAAAACAGGTTGTGTATCTAGGCTACCATCTTTGGATGGCGACGTGAATTAAGGGAATGAATGAAGGAGGTTTCCAACTAGTTGCTTTGCTCTTGTCGGTAACTTCCACTAACTGCTAATGTTGTTAGTTAAATACTAATTCTCCAAAGGAGAAAAAAACAAAACTAGAAGAAAATATTAGAAGAAAACTTTATTGGGGCCTTGGTATCCCATCACCTACCTCCTGTCTCCTGGGGTTATTCAGGCAATATGTGTACACACACCCCCCCCCCAACTCTTTCCCACCCACCTACCCAGCCACCCTCTCTGCAAACTGGCCCTACTTTCATAGCCCCACAAGGACAGAAGCATATAGAATAAATTGTTTTCAAGCTTCATTGTGTGGAATGAGAATGGAAAGAGGGCTGACCCCTTTCTTTTGTCCAGCCTAGATCTAATCTTTGATGCCCAAACCACCCGAGTTCTCAGAAAACCTTGTGCCATAAAGGGTTGGAGGTGACTTCCCCAGTTGTGATCTTTTCTTAATTAATTGAGATTAAGAGGGAGATTGGGAGAGGAGAAAAATTCAAGAGCATAAAATAAGCGGCAGAGGAAAGTGGAACCCTGTACCCAAAGCAAGTGAAACCACCATCGAATGCCTCACACAAGCCACCATATTATAGAAGGTGCAACCTCCATAATAAGTATTTAAGTATAATAAAAGTAAAGAAGCGAATAGAGGCCACATCTTTAGAAAGTGAAATGGGATGATTTCTCATGAGATAGACTGTCCCCAGTATTACCCTCAGTCATATTAACATTGGTCTGGCATATATAGAGAGAGGAGGAAGCTAAGTAAAAAGTGATGCTTGCCAGCTCTGTGTATCCTCCACCACCGGTGTGCTAGAAGAAATCCTTACCCTCGAGTGAACATTTGGAAATTTAGTGATATTATTCTTCTTTAAGGCTAAACAGAAAAAAAAACAAAACAAAACACAAAATGATGGTTAAGTAAAAATGGGATGAAAATGAAGAGCAACTCAACTTAAAGTTTAAAAATCCCAGGCAGGTTAGCCAACAGAACAAGAGAGTGGAAGGTCACCACTATGAGTTGGGGTTAGATACAGCAAGAAAAGGGTGAGATGGTCTTCCCCACCCCCTTGATCTCTGACTACCCAATTCCAAGCTGCTTTGAAGATTGGCTCCAGGAAAATAATCCAACAAATTCACTTGACAGAGCAAACAAGGGCCAAGCAGATGAAAGTCCACAAAAGGATTAGTAAGCACTGGTGAGTGAAGTTCACGACAGAGCAAGAACACCATTGCTTTTGGACCCACCCCCACCTCCACCCGTTCCTTGTCGCTTCCTCAAAGACAAAATGGAAACATACATAAGACAGGTTAAAGTACATTCTTCAAACAGTTAATACTGCCTAATACACATGTGCCCAGTTCCAAGTCCATTTCATTAGGGAGCATCCCCTGCAGACATGTGTACTGAAAAAGGAATTAAGGTCACCATCTTTCCTTCTTAGCATATATGTTTTATCCATTGCCCATGGCCTATATTATCTAGCATCCCAAAGAACGAAATCTCTTCTGTGGCTAAACTCCAGAGGAGACTAGTTCATTATTTTGGGAGGTTAAATCATTTCCTAGGGACTCACAATGCTGATGTTTCCTGGAATGCACTGGTAGTTCATCTGCACCACCACTCCTACCATACTTCAAAAGAACAGTGGTTTCATTGGTATGGATAAGTAACAATCAAAACTGGCATCCACTGGGTACTTTGAAAGTTTACAAAAGCACTTTATGTATATTATCTTTTTTGACATCTAATGTATCAACAAATTTAAAAATCAACCCCTTTACATTTGTTGTAAATAGTTTCCATGAGTTACTATAGCCAAAAAATTTCATCACCCAATGGCCAGTTTTCTGGCGATGAGACCATGATTCCTAGTATTGTAACCCAAGAAATCACCATGAAGCTGATTTAGCAGAAGTATTCTGGATGTGGCATGGGACTGGGCACAAATGATAGCATGATGAATGACAAAACCAAGACATTTGTCGGATTCCCCTTCTTCTAAGGTCATTCTCACATGCACATGCTGGTTAGCCAGGCAAGACAGTACACACAACAGCAATGAGGAAAGGTCTTGGATGACTCTCACAAGGCAATGAGGGAACCTGTATATTGTCTCTGACAGTCCATGCACACTTCTGGTGGAGGGGGCTCATTTATTCCATGCTCTATCAGATCTACTACACAGAATTAAATATCTAAAGGCTGGGTGAGATAGCCTAGGAAAGCAAGCAAACTGTCACAATTTAGAACTAGCCATACCCCTTTTGAAAGTGAGGAAAAAGTAACATTTGCAGCACTTTGCCTTCTAAAATATATACAACAAATATCTTCTTTTACTGCCATCCTTAATAAAGTGTGAAGGAACTCGTATTATTTCCATTTTATTTAGGGGGAAAGTCAAACAGTGAAAAGTTAAATAATTGCCCCAAATTTTTAAAAAAGGTTGGTTGAGTCAGCACTAAAAAGAGACTTCCTGATTTGAAGCCAAGTGTTCTTACAAACTTTCTCGCTCTCAGTGTTTTCATCTATAAAATGAGAATGCTAGACTAGAGGATTTTTAAGGTACGGCCTCTTCCATCTCTTATGACTCCGACAAACCACGATCTTGGCCTCCCCTCCCCCCAACAAGGTAATTTGACAATTTCAAAACTTGCTATTCCATGGCTCTGTCACACAGACCAGAGACATCTCCAGAATGTGAAGATGAATAAGGTCATCATGAGGGTGGCGATGGGGATTTCAGAGGTGACTGAATGCAAGTCCATGCAACATGGGAACAACATGAAACAGAATTCCACATGGACATCAGATACATGCTATCCATTTACAATTCGTCTGACCCTGTCTGATATCCACATAGATAGAGAGAATGGGTCAAAAATCTACGGCAACCTTTTAAGAGCATCAGGTGTGAAAAAGTAATAGTTTAGTAATGGAATTCCTCAGTGAGAACAGGTTCGCAGAAAAACCGAGAGCCACGCTTGGCCGTACGAGCTGTAAAGGGCACAGTCTTCAGCACTGCATGGAAAATAACAGCCAAACAAGACAGACAAAACAGAACAGAGTAAGAAGCAGAGATTGACTGCATCAGTTAGTGCTTTGTTAATGATCGGGGGAAGGGGGGGAGGGAGGACAGGGGGATTACAAAGGGCCAGTGGTCAGCTACTTAGGGACTAGAAGATTTGCAAATCCTGACTTGGGATAAAGAGGTGGTTAAAAGGCAACTATTATAATCAGAGCATTAAAAAAAATCCTTTTAGTATTGCCTAACAAATAGGCATTCGTCCTCTTCATTTTGGTGAATAACTGATGCCACAGGTGAATCACAAATGCACGTCTGATTCATTTCACCAACTGTATGTACACTGTTTTTGATAAAATGAAGGACCAACAGGCTAGTGAACATACAAAGTTACTGCATGTTGGAGCATAAGTCACAATGTTCTTTTAATAAAGAAAAATGTGCCCCCCTCCCCATCTTAATTAATCAGCAAGCACTTACTTAACACTTACTGAACATCCATCAGACACAATACAAGACATTACGCTAGGTACTGGGGTTATGAAGACCAAAATGAAGCTGTTCCTTTTGTCAATAAGCTTATATTCTCTAAGATCAAGGTGTTCTTTCCCACAGTTCTGAGACAGAAAGGACCAAAGAGTTAAAGGGGAAAAAAATCTGAGCTTTAAATTTTAGAGATATCTATAGTGCTATTATTCAGTGAATGCATGGAATCTCAGAGTTGCTTTAATTTTCATTTTCTAATTTTTATTAGTAATTTGGAGCATTTTTCTTTTTTGACTATGGAGTGTTTAGATTTTTAACCATTTATCAATTGGAGACTAGCTCTTATTCTTCTAAATTTGAATCAGTTCCTTATATATCTCAGAAATGAAGCCATTTTCAGAGAACCTTGCAGCAAAGATATTTTCCCCCTTCTAATTTTAGCTTTATTGGTTTTGTTCATGTAGAAACTTTTTAATTTTAAGTAATCAAAGTTGTCCTTTTTATCTTCTTGATCCTCTCTATCCCTTTTTTGGTCATGAACTATTCCTCTTCTTTAGATCCCTGATCCTGTAATCTGTTTATGATATCACCCCTTTATGTCTAAGTCATACATTCTTTCGGATCTCATCTTGGCATATGGTGTGAAATGTTGGTCTAGACCAAGTTTCTGCCAGACTGATTTCCAATTTTCCTAACAGTTTTTATTGAACAGTTAAGTTCTTACCTCAGTAGCTAGTCTCTTTGTATCAAACACTAGACTTCTGTGTTCTTTTGCTTCTACATGGAATGTACCTAATCTGTTCCACTACATAACGTTTCTATTCTTAATCAGTATCGAATCATCTGGATGATTTACTGCTTTGTGTAGAGTTTGAGATCTGGTACTACTACCATACGAATGGTGGGTGTATGTGTGTGGGGGGAGTTCATGTGCATGTTCATATTTTCTGAGATTTAGAGTCAGAAGGGACATTAAAGGTCATCTGGTCTAAGCTCCCCATTTGACAAACGGATATCCTAAAAGAGGTGAGGTCACCCCACTAGACAAAGTAGAATTTGAACCCAAGGTCCTGTAACTCAGTGTGCTGCTGGGGAAAGGAGAGCTGTCAGGTGATGCGGTAAATAGAATGCTGGACCTGACAGTTAGAAAGACCTGAGTTCAAATCCAGCTTTAGATATTGACAAGCTGTGTGACCCTGGGCAAGCCAGTTAACCTCTGTCTACGTTAATTTCCTCAGCTGTAAAATGGAGGTAATGATAGCACCTATTTCCCAGAGTTGTCATGAGAATCAAATGAAATATTTGTAAAAGTGCTTAGTTCAGAGCCTGGCACATAGTAGGCACTTAATAAATGTTCCCTTCCTTTTTCTTTGCAGTGTGATAACCTAGGTTTGAATCCTGGCTCCGTAATCAGTCATTTCACCTCTCTGAGCCTCTATTTCCTCATCTGTGAAATGAAAGGGTTATACCACATGTTTTCTAAGGATCTTTCCCACTCTCAATCTATAATCCTATGACTCCAAATACAGTGCATCCACCACCATGGACACACTACATATTCCAACAGAATGTAAGCTCCTTGACGGCAGGCACATTTCATTTCTGTCTTTGCATTTCTACCACCTAAGCATGATGCCTCACATAACATAGGCACTTAATAAATGTTTGCTTGAACTATATATACAGATTTTCCCAAAAGTCATTGTGCAGTTTTAAAATGTAAATAGCTTATCCCGTGCTAAGACTTTTGGAACATTCTGTCTGAGCCTTCTCTTGAGGTACTTTTGCCTCCCCACCAAGTACTGTGATGCTGGAGGGGGAGTAAAGCCTGTTGATTCATTTGTTTCTTTTTCCTGTAAGATTTGGGAACAGGGAATAGAAGTTCAGAAGTGACAAGTTTCTGTGAGTCTGTTAGCTAGGGATGCTTATTTATAAGGCTGAATTTGTGATGTCAAAGAAACAAAAGCCAAAGAGTTGATAAACTGCAGAGTAGGAAGCCAAGGAAAGTCTCTTGTCACCTCCATGAATATTGATTTTCCTTCTTGTATACGGAAAATTGGAAACTTCCAAGAATTGGGGACAATGGGCAGAGCATGGATTAGTCTGTAGGGCTCAATCTGACGGGAACCACTCTGAGAGATAAATCATTCAAATCTGACTGAAACAATCTGTCCCCAGCCGTGCGTTAGTTATGGGACTAAAACCCTGTTAGTGTGTTTTAATGAAAGCATAAGCTTCTCATCCAATGATAGAAGAGTTCCATTATCTCAGGGGAGGAGAGAGGCTTCCTGAGAATGTCCTGAAAGGCATGCTGGGATACTGAGGTTTAATCTGCTTTCTCTTCTAGTCTTTATCAGGTGGTGGAGGGGAGAGGTGGTCATGCTAACTCAATGTGAAAAACAGAAAACCATTCTGTAAATGAAAGAGCCCCCATTAAGGGTTCAGAAATAAGACAGAAGTCAGAAAGAGGGGACAAAGTAGTTTGGGAGAAAGTCTGTTGGGTTCAGAGAGATGGGCAACGCATTCTGGGCTTGAGATTCACATCATGGAAACACTGCTGCACACCTGAGGAGCCACTGTCTGCAGGTAATACTGGAACATCATCAGACCCACTGAAGGACTTTCGAACACTGGGCAAGTATGGCGAAAGGGTCTTCAGCATGTAGTGGGGGATCTCCATGGGTTTAGGATAAAAAAAGGCTCATTTACCTGTAATAATATCCTCAATAGCACCATCTTTCCCCTCATATACATGTCTGTTATCCTTCACTTGCCGCCTTCTTAACTCTGCAATTAATTCCTGCTGTTGCCTCTTGGTTTTATGAGAAGGAGACTGGAATAAAAGGAAAGAGATCAGTGGTGCCCTATGGCCTATAGGAAATTCAGGGAAACTCAAAATACATAAATGAGTGCTTGCTAATCAGAGACAAATGGCCTCATTCTACCATCTGGAACTCAAAGAATAAGAAACCTCATTAGATGACTGGAATAAAATGGAATCAAGACAGCGTTTCAGGAGAGGGGAAGGAAAAATACAATTCTGGATTAAAACTTTTCCTAAAAAGGTTCAAAAAACCCCCCACAAAGCTGGTCCACCAAGAACAGAGTCTACACAAAAGGGATGCTGATTGATAATTCCTTCTACTGGAGAACTTCAAAGAGCTATGACCAGTAATCTGCCTCCATGCTTTCACTCTTTCTGCTCTCCCCAACTCAAATGTCCTCCCTGACCTCTATGCCTCACACTGCCTTGTACTGTAGTTATGAGTGTACAAGTCTCATTTTCCTACTCAACTAGGTAAGCAGGACCCAAGTCTTATACTGCCCCTCCCCCCAGGGTTTAGCATAATGCCTTTCATAGAGTAGGCACTCAATAGATGTTTGCTTAATAACTGAAAAACATTTAGCTAGAAGGGTTTTTGGACAGCAGAATAAGCTATCCAGCAAGGTGAAGCAATCTTCTTCCCCACGGGTTATAGGTGACAGCAGGGAGGTCTGTTACCTGGGCTGAGCTGACCACTTAGCATGGCCAGTGGATAAGATGATCTCTCCTTCCTCTCCCACACAGAATATTCGAGGTAAGCTTTTCTATCACCTACCACCAGGGGAGGCCAGGGGTCTTCGCTGCTCATCAGGCACCAACTAACAAGCTCCTGCATGGATTCCATACCTTTGGGTCCTGTTGCTCCATTAGTGCTTCCTGTTCCAAGAGTTTTTCCATGAGGGCCTGCTCCTGTTTTTTCCTCAGCTCATTCTCTTCCTCTGCTTGCTGTTTAAAGCAAAAAGACAAGGGAACTGCTTTTAAATAGCACACGACTGGGGGCTAGGTTTTGTTAGGCAATGATTTAAGAGAAACCAGGCCCAGAAACCGAATCCAGCAGGTTCCAAACTTTCAGCCCAGGATTTACCACTAACTCTATAGGCTCTCCAGTCCCAATTACTCACTTTTAAAGCCTAATGCAAAATATGTGGCCTCTAGGAAGACTTCCTTGCCTTAGCCCCAATTCACTCTAATCCCTCCTCGACTCTGAAACCGTCCAGCAATCATATAGGAATTGTGTACTACTGTACATTCTTTGCACGTACAGGTTTGGGGTTGGGCAGAGATTCTTAGGTCATTTTAGAGGCAGCAAGCCTCATCTTTCATCCAACCTGAAGTCCTCACCAAGACTATGTAATCCCTGAATATATGCTATGCTTTCTCATCTCCATAATTCCGCTTCTTTTATTCATAGGATCAAAGTATGATAGTTAAAGTTGGCAGGGAACCAAGAGGTCATCGGGCCCAACTCATTTTACATATGAGGAAACTGAGGCAGAAAGGGGTTACGGGGTTTGCTCATGGTAACACAGCTAATGTGTCTGAGGTTAGATTTGAACCCTGGTCTTCCTGACTCCAAGCTCAGCACTCCATGTACCATGCCATGATGTCTCGACACTATTATTTCCTCTTTTCCTTCAACCTTATCTGGTGAAATCCTTAAATACTCTCCAAGGCCCAGGTCAAATGCTACCTCTTCCATAACACCTCTGATCCTCCTAATGGACTTGATTTGGAAGCCAGATACCCTTCCTCCTCTTCTTAGATTCTTTTTAGCTGTCCTCTAGCATTTATCATATTCCACCTTGGATTAAAGTTCTTTGTGTCTTTGTCTTCTTTCCACCACTAGGTTACAAATTACTGGCAGGGAGGGACCAGATCTATTCTTCTTTGTCCTTTTCATGGAACCCAGTATGATGCCTTGTATGTAAAGGAGCTCAGTCAATGTTGTGTGTATGTGTGTTAGAATTTGAATGAGCAGAATCAGCAAACCTGATTCAAGTCCTAGGTCAGTCATTAAAGATCCGTGTGACCCCTGACTTCCCTTTTCTGTGCCTCAATTCATCTATAAAACAAGGACAGATGAACTAAATCTTTACATACTTTCAAGGTCTGGAATTTTATAATTCTATTAAGTATATTTGGCTCCCCAGTTAGATTGTGAGGTCCCTTAAAGCAAAGGAGAATGTTCTATTTCTCTTGTGTCCTCCCCTATAGTACCCAGAACAGTGCTACACATACTGTGGTTGCTTTCAAAGTTCTTGTGAAAGTAACCAGAAAGAGAGTCAGAATGGTGAGAGGCATCAAGATGCTGCCAAAGAAGGATTAACTGAAAGAACTGAGATTGCCTCTTTGTCTCTAGCCCCTAGAAGAATGCTCAGCATATATCAGATATTCAATAAGCGTGTGATGAGTTGCAGAGTTGTTTTTTTTGGGGGGGGGGCTTTTGAGGGGAGAAAGTCATGGGGAGATGGGAGAACATGATAGCTGTCTTCAAGCATTTAAAGGACTATCAGCTATTATTATTACTATTACTATTACTGTCTGTATGAACCTGTGCAAGTCACTTAACCTCTTTGCCTCAGTTTCCTCATCTGTAAAATGAGGATAACAACAGCACCTACCTCCAGAGTTGTCATGAAGATCAAATGAGGTAGTATTTGTAAAAAGCACTAAGCACAATCCCTAGCACATAGGCACTTAATAAATCCCTTCCTTTCTTTCCCCTTCCATTTCCTGGAAGCAACTGCACTGGGATGATAATACTTTGGAAAGCAAAAATGTCATCAATTACCACTCTCTTTTCCTCTTAGCCCTAAAGCCACACAATCTCAGGCCTTACCTAACCCTAGCCTCACTCTGGATTAACAAGAACAATTTATTTAGCTATGGCATACACACTCTTTTCAGTCATCAGAGAAATATAAACCTATGATAAGTCAGGGACTGTTTGTGCCTGAGGCACAGAAGTGGCCACAAGGTGTCACCATGACTACAGGATATCGTGATGCTGACACGGCGCCGCTCATCAGCTTTGTCTGACTCAGTGGAACATACCCAAAGGTACACTATCACCTAGCAAACCTCAGGATTAGCTTGTTAGTACGATGTTGCCCACCCTTTGCTAAGAGCAGCAGGCATTCGGTCCAAGAAAGTGGAACTGGTTGGGAATATTCAACCCCACACCTCAGGGTACAGAAAGTCTCTTCTGAAGCCAAAAGATTTGCCTCATGGCAGGACACTGGATGTCCCTGTGCCCCAGGTCTCGGTCAATCAGACAAACTGTACAGAGGGAAATAGCAAGGATTCCTATTTACCTTATAAGCTTTAACAAACCGGACAAAGACTGGGAAGAAGACAGAGGGTGGCGTTGTCTTGGGATTTTCTCCAAAATATTTTACAGCATCATCAAAGGCATCCTACAAAGAGGCACATTTCTATGTTTCATGAATCCCAGGATTTGCTTCTTTTTTAAAAAATATTTATTACAAACCACTGAATATTAATAGTACAACTTACTTCACAGCTACTTAGCAATTGAATAAACAGAACTCATCCCATAAAAGTCATTACAATTTATAGTTCACTCTCTCATAGTCTCCATTGGGTTTGGGTTTTTTGTTTTGTTTTTTTTTTTGGTACATTCACTCCCGTTCATTTTTTCCCCTTTCACATGACCAAAGTGAATTGCTTTCAATGTTCAACTCTGCCACGGAGGGTGGGCTGACTGAAGGAGAAGAAGCAATGAAGACATAAACTTCACTGGCTATAATCTGCTGTTCTTCCCTTCCACTATCTTTTTTCTCTCTGGGTTTTCTCACAGAGATCCCATCCAGAATATTCTGAAGAATGCAAAAGAAGATATACAAACAATGCAAAAGAAGATATACAAACCCCAATGGAAGGAAAGAGAAAGTAAAATTCCAATTAAAATAAGATAATAGTTAAATAGATAAATACTATAACACAAAATAAATAGATTAAATACTTGAAAGTCTATCTACCAAGACACACACAGGAACTATAGAATATAAGTATAAAACATTCTTTAGAGAAATAAAGACAGATTCAAATAACTGGAGAAATATTAGTCACTAGAACCTGGAATGAAAATTCACACAAGGATTATGACCTAAAGTTTCCCCATCTAATCTAATGTGACTTGAGTCTAAGAAAACACTCTAGAGACAATATTACAGGGGACAACTTGTTCCACAGGAATAAGAATATAAGTGGGAGTTATGTTCCTAGGCAGTCACAATTCATACAATGTAAGTTTTAACTAGTCTTTTAGAGGGATGAACTCCAACAGGGAATAAAAGTCCCAACCGGTGATCTGAGAGGAACAGGGATTGGGATTGGTGAAGAAGGAGTATCAGGCAGAAGGCAAGTATTGGTACTACCGCTGCTACAAGCTCTCTAGATGAACCAAAGCCACTTCAGTGGCTGTATTCAGGGGGTAATATTTTGGTTATGTTATCCCTCTCCACCTTGAGGGTCAGGCAGCAGCAGAAATCATAGGGGAGCCAAGGGCCTTGACTGAGTCCTCAAAGATGAAGGGGTCAGATTGGCATCATCTATGAGAAAAGAAAGGCAAAGGACTGTACCACATCAATCATTAAAGGAAGCTGAATGTGGTGACCAGCTTCCTGGAAGGATTTATCACAAGAGACAACAGTAGATGGTCACAGGTTTGACTACATGAAAGTATGCCTGCAGATTCAGATGGCAGAAAAATTCCTTTACAAAAAAAAACCCTTTCATTGTTTCCAGTTGATTACAAAGCAACATTCTGATTTCTCACTCTCTTTGTGTCTTTGGCAACTGGTTGTAGGGTTGACTTTACTGCGGGGCTCTGTAACATTCTGCTGGACTTGGTTATAATTTACTAATACCATGACTGGTTTGGGCAGCGTCATCCATCCTATCTACACTTGCCTAGCTATTCAAGTTGGTTAGCCACTGGGTGAAGACATAAAGATGGGGACCAGAAGAGAGTAGGGAGCTACAGAAGAAGGGAGCCTTTCATATTTTAGGGGAAACATTATCTGGGGGACAAAATGGGGTCACACTGCATGCCTGTGCAATCTTGGCATCATCTTGTAGCTTCTTGAGCTTCCCTTCATTGTTATGGATAAATTCTTTCAGCATCACGTTGTGATCGTGCATTGTGTACTCTCGTTTGGTCAAGTCCATGCCTCTCTGGAGCTCCTTGACATCAAGAAGGACATTCTCTAGAGAAACTGAAATGGAGGAAAAGACACGGAAAGGCCATCAATTGAGACCAGCAAAAAACCTGCCCTATGAGGCTCTCAACGACAAATAATTAATCTGGGCCGAAAATGTTTCCCTTAGCGTAGCCCCACCCCTTCGGCATTTTGGTGAAGACTGGATTCCTTCTCAAAATCACGTTTCTTAAATGCATACACGGTATATTACAAATGAAACAAATTATGCTGAAATATAGTTATCAAAATTATACATACATACATATCTAAATGTGTGTTTTTTAAATTTTACTGCCCCACGAAACAATTCCTGCCTTAAAAGATCTAAAATCCAGTGACTGGCTTTCAAGGCAGCAGTCCCTTTCTAGATCGTATGTAATTGGCTGACAGGTACCTTATTCCCTAATTAAGAAGAGCTCTCATACCTAGCTCAAGGGATGCTGTTGTTCCTACAGCTGTTGAAACATGTAATATTTGGTGATTTTTCCTAGAGTAAACTATGAATATGGGCATGATGAGCCTTTTGGGGAAGCCTCCGAGATTTGATCAAGTCTGTGTTACTTGGCATGGGGGGAGAAGCCTGGGTCTGGGAACATACATTAACTCTGAATATATTTTGTTTATATCTACCTATCTTCTATTCTCCCCTCTACTAACCACCTAAAACTTAAGTTCCTTGAACATACAGGCTCTTTCATTTTTATTTATATTTCTAGCACCTAGGCTAGTAGATAGACTACTGACCTTGAAAAACAGGAAGACCTAGATTCAACTCCTGCCTCTATCACATACTGCCTATATGATACTGGGCAAATCATTTACCCTCACAATACCCTAGGCAAAAGTAACAGAAATGGTGCCAACTTACGTTAGTATGAGGAGTGTCCTAACATAGGAGTTCTCTATATCAGCGAAATCACACATCAAGTGCCAGTCCCCATTTCCAGCACCATCATAATGCCTGGCATATAGTAGATGCTTAATACATGCTATATCAGTGATGAGGAACCTGCAGCCTCAAGGTCACATGGCCCTCTAGGTCCTCAAGTGCGGCTCTTTGAATGAATCCAAACTTCACAGAACAAATCCCCTTAATAAAAGGATTTGTTCTGCAAAACTTGGACTCAGTCAAAAGGCCACCTGAGAACCTAGAAGGCCACACGTGGCCTTGAGGCTGCAGGTTCCCCCACCCCTGTGGTAGATAAACTGAACTACTAAACTGAAAGACTTTGTGAAGAGACCTCAGGACAAAAGGGCACATGCATGGAGGAGACCATGAAACACCAAGAGACAAAGGCCACCACTAGGAAGGGGGTCACTAAATAGAGCTCATCTGGAGTGTAGTTCTTAGGGGAAGGAAGGAAGGTAGGTTGCTATGCAGTAACTTTCCATTTTGATTTTTGCTAACTAGGTAGTAATCTCACTTACTTTTTTTTTTTAAAGGCAATTGGGGTTAAGTGACTTGCCCAGGGTCACACAGCTAGTGTTAAGTGTTTGGTCTGAGGCTGGATTTCAACTCAGGTCCTCCTGACTTCAGGGTCGGTGCTCTGTCCACTAAGTCACCTACTTGCCCCTCAACTACTTTTACAGACTAATCCTAATCCAGCCAATCTGAAGCTTGAATCTCATGTACTTTTCCATCTAATTAACAGGATACAATTTTTGTTCTTTGCTGGTCTTTGAAATTTTCTAGCAAGAAAACCTCTTAGTCAATTCTTTTTCTTGCATCTTAGAATCATAGATCTCAAGCTAACCCTAACCCTAAACGCCTCCTAATCCAACTCTCTCATTTTATAGATAAGGTGACTTGCCTAAAGTCACCCAGGTGGTGAGCATCAGAGATGAGGTTTGACTCTAGGTCCCCTTGCTTGACAGTCCCTGATCGCTGCACTGAACTGGGTTCTATTTTTTGCTACAGCAGCCCTAACCAGGAAACAGTGCTAGGAGTATGCATTAAAAAGTACATGATTGATTGATTCATGGCTCCTGAAGATCAGAGGGCAATCACAGCCCAGAAGTGTAGCTAGCTCTTGGAACGGGACACTGAGATTCATGAGCTTTACAGACAAGATCTCAGCGTTTTCATTTCCACATTAGCCCTCTAAAAACATTTTGCTACCTGAGAGTAGATAATACCTGTTCTGATACTACAGCGAGCCAGTACAGTGGATAGAGCACTAGGCCTGGAGTCAAGAAGATCTGAGTTCAAATCCCACCTCAGATGCTAATTAGCTGTATAACCCTAGGCAAGTCACTTAACCTCTGCCTCAGTTTCCTCAATTGCAACATGGAGATTAAAAAATTGTACCTATCTCCCAGGGTTGTAAGAAGGATCAAATGAGATATTTTTGATGTGCTTTAGCACAGTGCATAACACATAGTAGGCGCTTAATAAAATGATTGTTCTCTTCCCCTTCTGAATTTGTCCCTTTGAAAAAAACAATGTACCTGAAAACCCTGCTACTTCAGGCTCTGGTTAAGGAGCCCTGGTTAGCCAGTTGTCGGAGCAGTGGCCAATCCCCAGATAGTTCCAGAAGCCACATCACAACACATCATAATTCGAGGACACAACCAAACAATATCATTTACCTGCAGCAGCTTTCTCCACATAGTGAAGTTCATTATAAAAGAGGGACACTTGATGGTACTTCTCTCTTACAACATTGGATATGTAGTGCAACAGGGTTTGCTTTCGGTCTGTCGACTTGGTGTCTAGGAGCTAAAAACCAAAGGGAAGGGTTTTAGGTTTGGGTGTAGGAAATCTAGAAGGTTAAGAACGGCATAGCCCAGCAGGATGACCACCTTCTCAGGTGTTCCCAGATGAGACCTGGCAAGGAGTTCTTAGTTAAGATTACAGATGGATGCCAAGTCAAAATACTTAGTAAATTTAGTAAATGAGTCCATTGGTTTTAACGCACAGGACTTCCCCAACCAGTGTGTATTATAACTCAAGGGGGTGATTCTGATCCCCTACGTGTATTTCACACCTCTCAGCTCTGTTCAGATGGCACTGATTTGTCTTCCCACTCACCTAGGATAAAAACTGAAATGATCCAAGGTAAGCTTTTTTTCCTCACAAAATTAACAGCTAGATGACCCTATTTCAAGTAGATAAGGAGGAAGAAGGTATTGTGCAAGCTTCCTCCCCCCTCAGCGTGCTTTAGCACCCTTCACTGCTCTTCTGACCATCCCTGGGCCTCCTCGGAGTTAAGGGTGCTTAATACCCATGACAAGGTGGGGCTAGAACAACAGGCAGAAGAGGTTCCTGGGGACTAGCATCTCACTCACTTTCAAACTGACATTTCAAAAGACTCACGTTGCCTTTAAGTGATAAATTCAGCCAATGCTAGCTTCTATTTGCCTGGCGTCCATCCCATGATTCCAATGCAGAGTATGCAAGATGAAACCTTTTCCAGTCCTGCTCATACAGCGCAGGTGACAATGAATAGCACAGTAATTCATCATAAACCGAGCCACCCTTCAATCTCTGCCACCTGTTTTCCCTTTGAGATTATTTGTTTTCTTTTATTTCACTCACCAGATCTAAACTCTGGAGTTTGAATCCATAAACTGCTCCCCGTTTACTGCTATTCATATAGTTACCAAGAGCCAAGATGATCTGCAAGGTAAATTTTTAAAAGAGAGAGAGAGAGAGAGAAGCATGTTGGTTCGGTGCCCCAGGCATTCCTATATACAGGCATATTATAGAATGTGACAGACAGGCAGCTTTTTAGATACACAGAAGAAAAAAATAAGGGAAAAAAACTTGCACTTGCCTCCAGAATTTTCTTGAGTTTTTGGGATGACTTTATTGAGACAGATGCTGCTATTATTGCATGCAGTTGCTAGATTAACATCAAAGAAGGAGGGAAAAAAAGACATGTTAACATTTCCAAAATTGAACTGGAATCTAAAATTTGACACAGGAAAGCTGAACTTCTCAACAGAGTGATTTCAACCTGTACATTCTGTGTCTACTGCAGCTATGTCATTATATATAGACTATTTTAAATCAATTTCTTCAAAACTCAATTTTCTCAAAATATGTAACTAGCTGCCCGGAACATTCCCCACGGTTGAGTGTCAACACCATCAAGGGAGCCCTCATCTTCCCAGCTTGCCATCTCATTGTGCCATAATATTTCTACTTTTAAACTAATGGGGAAGAGAAAGGATGAAAAAAGAAAAAGGGAGGGGGGAAATGAAGTAAGGTAGGTATGATTATCCTTAAGAGGCAGAGTCATATCGCAGACAGAGATCTGATCTTGGAATCAGTAAGACCTACGCTCAAACCCTGCCCCCAACTAGTTTGACCATAGGAGAGTCACAATCTTTCTGGGCCTCAATTTCCTTATCTGTGAAATGAGGATAATACTTGTAATGACCATAGCACAGGAATGTTGAGAGCCTCAAATGAAAATGATGTATATCAAGCCCTTGGCAAACCCCAAAACACTGCATAATTGTCAACTGTTATTCTTTTCAACAGAAAGATTCTCCTTGGTAAGCAAGAAGCATTCAGTTTTGAATTAGAAAATGGTTTTTGAAAAACAATCTAAAGTTTTTCCTAGTACACAAGCGGCCTGTCTGTGTTAAAGTACTCTATGCTAGACTTTCTGAATTGGCCAATGAATCAATGACTATGGGTCTAATTAGCCACAAAGATAATTTAACAAATTCCCACTTCTAAGATAATTTAAGAATTTCAAGTAAAATGCTCATTTCCAAAAGAAACAGATTTGGTTTTGGGTTTTTTTTTTTTGGGGGGGGGTTGGTAAACATGCCCATCATGTTTTCAATCTGGTCAATCTGGACAAGAGACCTGGTTGTTTTGGTGGGTTTGACAATGACTGAAGAGTCCAATCTCCATCTCTTACTTCTCATTATTTTTAGAGCTACCTTTGAAGTCTAATGGAGTTTTGTGACCACTGTGAAAGGTATCCCACAGGGGGAACTGGCATTATTTTATCATCAATGAGCAATGGAAGCTTGTCAATTGATTTGATTGACTGAATAGGCAAGCAGCATGAGAAAAGTTGTAGAAAACATTTAAGTGTGTGTCAGAGGAATTCTATTGTTTGGAACTGGCTCTCAGCCTGTTGCCCCACTTACAGGAGTGAGCATCTGGATACTTTCAGAGAAGTTCCCAATGAAAGCCATGATGGTCATCTTCTGCATGAGCCTTTCAATTTTACTGAACTGCATCATGAACCGATCCTCATCAGACAAGTTCTCCAAAGGCTTCCTTTCCCTCTCATAGAGCCGCAACACTTTCACTTCATTTTCAGTTGGCAGGAACCTCATCAAACACTCCACAAAGTCTACTGGCAAGGTCTTCAAGTCAAATCTGAGGAGAAGACATATGTGAAATGGGTAGTGCTGAAATAAAATGGGGGGGGGTAACCTAACCTGTCTTTATTCAGTGACCTCTGCTAACTCTGCTAAATGGGTCAATCTTTTAGCATCTCTGGAGGTCTGAGACTTTGAACCTCTAAACAACACAAATGCTGGTAGGGATATATTGTGGGAACTCAGAATCTTGATGTGGTGCAACTTATTTCAACCAGTTCCAATGGATGATTAAGCAATTGTGCACAGCATAGTAGGAAGAACGCAAGACTTGAACTCACAAGAACTAGATCCAAAGTCTCACCCCAAACTTTATTACTGTGAGGTATAAGCCAATCCCCTGTCACCACTCTATGCCTCAGTTTTCTCATCTGTAAAATAGAGACAATAATGCCCACAGTGCCTCCCAGTGGGTGGGTTGCATTGTGAGGAAAGAAATCTGTAAACTAATATACAAATGTGTGCTATTGTTAGGAACCTTGCTTAAAAACCTGAATCATATAGAAGGTTCTCATTCTCAGTTCATGGGATCATAGATTGAAAGCTGGAAATAGAGGACTTCAGATCACCAAGTCCAACCCACTTATTGTACAGATTTGAAAACTGAGCCTCTGAGAGGTTACATGACTTACCCAAGATCACAAAAGCAATAAACAGCAGAGCCAGGATTGAAACCCAGGCCCTCAGACTCCAAATCTATCATTCTTTCTATTAAACCATGATGCTAGCTAGCTTAATTTTCTTGGGAGGTCAAAGGCTCTGTCTACCAACGACATATTCCAAATGATCTGCAGGGACATGGCATGGCAGGGCCTCAATAAAACAGTAAAACATATTCATTTTACTGTGGTAAAGCATCCAAATAAATTTTTTATTTTTGGACTGAATTAACTAAGACTAGATATTCTGGTCTAAGAGTCACACATGTCAAATTTCTTAAGGAATTCACCTCTGTGAATATCCAACCCAGGCTCCAAACTTCTGTTGGACAAAGAGTGGACAGACAGGACAATGGAATTAGTTTTTCTAGGGATTCCCAGATGTTAATGTTTGTAAAAATCAAGGCTGATTACCTGATATAAGAACTCTTGGTACAGTCAGTAAAACAGTCTATCAAATTTATTTTACCTTGGTAAAGACATCCAAATAAGTAAATTTTTTTTTTGACTGACTCAACTAAGACTAGATATTTTGGCCCAGGAGTCACACATGTAAAGCTGAAGGAATTCACCTGAATGAATATTCAACTCAGCCTTTAATTTTAAATCTGACTTACCCCTGCTCAGAGAAACACTGGAATTATATCTAATAATCACAACACACCCCATTCATGTAATGTTTTTTAAAAAAGAAAGCTTAAATATCAAACACTAGCACACCAAGTGAAAGTCTAGAATCTTCCTCTTATTTGGCTGCAGGACACTGGATTAGATGACTTCCCAAGGCTCCTTCTAATTCTAAAAGGCTACAACGACATGGCAGCAAGATGTTATAATGGCATCATACAGTCCAAGTCCTGAGGACTTTGTAATTACACAAAACACTTTCAACAAGTGTCCTATTCCCATATTAAGGTCACCATGACCTTCAAATGACTGGTTTGATGTTCTTAATAATCAAGTAAATTAATGTGACATATTCAATGCAATCTAAGGCTGAAAATGAGCCAAGTTTTTTTTTAAGTCAGTCTAAAATGTGCTGAAAAACAATAGAAAACACATTCCTCTTCTTTTGAATTTTCACATATGCCCACACATATTTGCTTCTATTATTCAATTAGATCATTCCAAAGATGATAGGTAGTTTATGTTCAACAAATCTGGCTTAAATTCAGACACACTGAAAAAACTAACCATTTCACCATTTTTTTCCCCTAACAATGCAAAGCTTACATTGGATATGTTTGTAGAACCACTGTGCCATGCAAACATAAGATAACAGCTTTATATATTAATATAATAAATATATTAATTAATCTATTGATACATAAACAATATACATCAATATATTATGTATACTTACACATATTAACAAAACAATAAATATATATTTATATATTAACATAAAGAGAAAATAATCCAAGAGACATTAACTACTCATTCTAATTTTCTCTAAGGTAATTTTTGTTCCACCCGTTTAGTGTTAGGAAGTAATACAACTCAGAGTTTACATTTTCTTTTTAAGAGAAATCTGTTTCTCATAGATACAGATGAGTCTTCTTATCCCTATAGAATCATTTCTGTTTTCTTCCAAGCCATAACTGTTTTATATATACCTTTTTGCTTCCCCTATACCTACTTGAATATGTTTTTACAGAAATATGCCCTTAACTTACATGTGAATTGCTTTGCATATCTCATCTGCAGTCTTTCCAGCTTTTCTTAAGGTAATGGCAAGATTTTTGGCCCGATTTGCTTCTAGTAAAGTTACTTTGTTTGATCCTTTCTGAGTTATCTTCTGTTTGTTTGAAGTAAGATCAATAGCGGGACCTTGGGCTTTTGTCTTGAATAGTTCTTCAAATTCATCCACATTTAAATCCTGAAGGAAGAAAAAATTAAATTGGAAAATTGGTTCTATGTTTTTAATTTACTGAGAAAACCCCTGGAGAGTTTTTCAAGTATTAAACATTATGCTTATCAGAGATCTAGGCGTTTCTGCTTAATATTTTGCCCGAGAGGGGCCTTGGATCTTTTCCTAGTTTAAATTGGAATGAGACTTCAATCACAAGTGCATTAAAAAATAGTGACTATCTGCAGGTAACAACTGATTATTTCAAAACGCTAATTAAACTAACTTGAGATGGCCACGACTATGAATTCTGATCATCCAAAGTAGTTGGTTCATGTTGTGATATCTGGATCCTTACGCATTTGCAGAATGGATAAGGGATGGTTTTCACATCATCTTAAAATTTATGAGAAACAAGGATTGTGCCATATGTATGTCTGACACAATATATTTCAGGAGCCTAATGAATAATGAATCCTACCACCTAAAAGAACACTGGCTCTAGAGTCCAAGGATTGGGTTACATGGATTAGGATAAATTCCTGTCTCTTTCACTTACCACCTGGGTGACCCTGACCTTTAAGTTGCTTAATCTCATTGAATCTCAATTTCCTCAACTGTAAGATGAAGAGGTTGGCCCAAACGGCTTATGAGTTCTCTTCTAGCTCAAGATCCATAGTCCTATTTCCCCTCTGTGTAACTGGAAATATTAGCATTAGTCACATGCATGGTAAGATTTATCTTGGCTGAGCCAAGCTACCTTCGCTGGGCAGATCAGAAAGAAAAGCTCTACCCACTCAGCACATCGTTACCTCCAGAATTCTTTCGTCATCAATTTCATTGAAGACTGTCCCATTGATCTGATTGGGTTTCAGAGCAACCCAATTAAAAACTGGCATGCGGAACTTTGTCTTGATTGGCTTCTTGATTTTCACGGCTACAGGCATCAGAAGGAACAAAATTAAAATTCTGCAAAAAAACTGGGACCATCTGGAACAATCAAATAACAGTCCTTGCAGATGACACTTCATCACTGGAGGAAAATGGGCAAGAGTCATTCAAAACTTTAAATGTGGCCTCTATGAACAAAAACCAGAGGGATTTTTAGTTCAATTTTCAGTTGGTTGATGAACTCTAAAACTGTCTAGGAACTAAAGAGTTGTCAGTTCCCCAACTCAGTTGGGCAATTGGATTACTGCATTATACTGTGAATGAATAAATTCAGAATAAAAAAAGAACAAATGGCATTTTTTTCTGTGAGTCCAGAAATTACTGCCAACATTACTGGACAGCAGAAAATGTGAGTGAGCCCTCTGTGACTGAGCTCTGGCTTGCCAAATGTAAGCTGATTTGTAATGTTAACTTCCTAAATCTTTGGTTCCAAGGTTCAAGTTTCCAAACTAATCTTTAAAGGCTTTCATTAAACATAGATAAAGCTGTCCAAAATGCCAAGGATGTGCATTCAGGAAGGACAAACCTTCAGCCAAAGCCATAAATTCCTGTGGATGGTTTGCATAATTTGGATTACGCTGACAGAAAGATTAGTTCTGTTGCTAAGAACTCAATGCAAGGCAAACTTAGCTCGAACAGACTATGAAGTACTGAAAAAAAATATTTAAGAAGACAAACAGCACCGAGTGACCTTTACCTCTCTGGTCCTGAGTTTTCTTCATTGGTAAAATAGGGGCTAAGGTGCTTTCTAACTCTGTAAAAGCCAGTGATCCTCAGATATCAAGGAATGAGCTAGGTTCCCAGGAATGGATCTCATACTTTTCTTCCTCTTCTCAAGAGCAAATTGTCAATAGGAGGTCAATTATTTTCCATATGTGACTATAAAGTTTTAATAAAAATATTAATTTTCATTTCTTCTCATAAGAAGGGAGGAGGTCAATCCAGAAGAAATCAAATTAGTTTTCCTCAACCGAAGACAGACTAGGTGACCCACCAAAGATCCATTTAGTTAATTAAACAGCATGAAGACATTCGGCTACAGTCTTCTTCTCAAGTGTGTCATCTGAGGCACATCTTACTACTGGGGAAGTTTCACCATTTGTCATCATTAATAAAGTAGGGATGACAAACTTGAATGTTCCAGGGCAGATGATTCAGTACATAGACATGTGAAGTGTTTTTTTTTTCCTTATTAGCCATTTTCCTTGCTAGTAGCTAAGGGAAAGGGGGAGAAAACATGTTGCCTCTCATTCCTCCAGTGTCACAAAGGCCATATAAACAGCAGGAATGTCATCATATAAATCTATACAAAAAGCATGCATGAACACAGACACGGCCCTGACCAAATCAGGCCTTTATACCACAAAATCTATCACCATCTCCCACTAGTTCTTAGTCCTGTGAACTTCAGTTTTCCTTTCTTCAGGGACACAAGAATTCAAGTCCTGCATGAGGGTGGTACGGTGGTGGTGGGAGGGGAGCAGAGATGGCAATTCTACTCAAGTTCTCCCTTGTCTCTTCTCTGGACTATCCAATTTTAGCAACCTAAGAAAAGCCTGTCCTCTCCATTCAGGCTTTTCTTATGCTTCAGTTTCAAAAACAATACTGTTTTTAACCCTACTTCCTCATATCATCAGTGAGGGAAAGTCACTATTGGCCTTAAGTCTCTTAACCCTCATAGTGGTCCTCCACTTAAGTGGAGCTTTATTTTTTTTTGTTTTTTGTTTTTTGGCAATTGGGGTTAAGTGAGTTGCCCAGGGTCACACAGCTAGTAAGTGTCAAGTGTTTGATCTGAGGCCGGATTTGAACTCAGGTCCTCCTGACTTCAGGGCCGGTGCCCTATCCACTGCGCCACCTAGCTGCCCCCTTGAGTGGAGCTTTATAAATTGTAAAGGAACCACCCTTTTGCTGGGACAGATGCCATTTCCAATAGAGCTGACATGGGGCGGGGGGGGGGGGCGCGCAGGGCTCAGAGATAGAGAAATAGAGACAGTCACCACCCATAAAACCCTGCCCAAGCCCGAGAGAGAACCTTTGCTGGTTTAACAACTGATAGAGCAACAGAGCAAGGTAGAAGGGTAAGAATAAGCATATAGTTTGGTGGGTCAGCATATCTTGGCACTGCTAACAAGTCTTTTCCTATGCTAAAAGTGTATGACTCTCCCAGAAATCGGAGGCCTGGAAATTCAGGGACTCAAGATAGTTATACCTAAGTAGGAACACTTCCTTTTCACATGAGAAAGAGACTCAAGACAGAAAGCCCTAAAACAAAACAAAACAAAAAGAGAAAGAAAAGAAAAAGAAAAGTCTTATCTACTAATTCAGCTAAAGAAGTCGGGGGCAAAACTGTGGGGACACAGTAAGCAACATTAGGACTCTCCTCAAACACAAAGTCAGAATGTAATGAGTCTGTCCTTAAAATAACATGGAGTGGAAAGATGTCGAGGCACAGAGCAAGTGACAGGAAGACGGGAGCAAATACTTAAAAACACTCAGTGAGAAGGAACCTACAGAAAAGCTTGATTGGCCCATCTTTTGTGGAAGCAGAGGACAAAGGAAATAAAACAAAAATTAGACATGGTTAGAGTCATCCAGTTCATCAGTTCATGCACTTTTAGTACTGTACACCATGCTTATCCTGACCCAGCATTTCACAACTAAATGCTGAGTAAGCCAAAATCTTTAAAGGACTGCATCAAAGCAGTTTTTTACCTTTTCTTTAGCAGACCCTTATTAGAAAACAAACAGACCAAACACTTAATTGTATTTCACAGCAAGGACCCCCAACAGCTATAAAACTACAAAAACACGGTTGGGGGTTGCGAGAAAAGGATGCTATCCAATCCCATAGGATACATAGCCTTTTGTTTTTACACAAAGAATTCATATGAACTGAGGCTCACATTTCACGTAAGACCCACACAGTACATTCATATATACATGAACAGAGATGTTTAACTTTATAACTTTATAACCAATTGGAGAGCTCCAGACTCTATGGCTTATCTAGACCAGGACATTAATGTAGTCCCCATGTAGATGCCTCAGGCTGGGAGAAAAAGCCAGATATGTTTGGTAGGTGATGCCCAAAAGGCACTGGAATTTTCTTCTCCCCTCATAGATTCACAGATTTGTGGAGCGAGTCTTCCACATAGGCATGAGTAGTAGTAATATTGTATCTGTAAATGCAAATAAATACTCCGCATATGGGCTTTTAATAGAAGCTTCTTCCAACCCAACCCCCTCTTTATCTAAAAGGAAAACACTCCACTGCTGCTACATATGTGGGTATGGCCTGCTGTTGCCTGTGCTGTCAAAGCCCTAATGAATTCTGAGATGCCACCAAATTCATGATGGGGACTGGTCTGTGCCAAACTGTCCAACCTCTCTGCCTCTCATCATTAAGGAAATTTATTCCGATAGACCTCCAAGACACATGGAGAAGAATGGTTAATGAAAATGCCAGCCACACATATTGCAAATCTAGTAAGATGACACCAGTGCTAATGGACACTATTACCCACCAGGGCGTTGGGTGTGGGCACTCAGGAGTTAACCAGTTCCTTTAGCAATCTCCCAATTCCACAAACTAGTGACCCATAATTTGGAGGCCCTGCTACCCATTCACATCCTTCTAAATGACAACTGGCGTACAAGAAATAAGATTAATTGCAGCAGCTTTGAAAATAGCTGTGCCTAGACATGAAAACAGCTGAGTGAGAATTAAACTCATAAAGGGCTTTCATGCCCTATGGCAGTATCAAGCAAAACAAGACCATTGGTTTAAATTTTTTAAATCATGGGAAGATGAGAGCTAACTTTAAAAAGTCAATTTGCTGAGTCATGGTCAACTGGAAGGCAACCCTCCCTGCAACCAAGCTCATTTGTTCTATCACTGCAGGGCTGAGTGCTAATGTTAGGACAAACTCAGGAGGAGAGAGAGGTGAATGTCAGCCCATATGTACCCCATCACTTTCTATCAGCCAGAAGAGATGCAGAGCCAAATCAGCAATTCAACAACAGATGTGTCTCACAACTTGGGTGCTCTTTTTATAATGCTGTAAGGGAAAGCCTAATTAGGAGGCTCAGGTATACATGAGGGGTTATAGTGTTTCACTTGTGATTACTAAGATAGGCCTATCAGCTAAATGGATTCCAGGGGGGTTGGTTTTGGTGGAGGTTTTTGCGGTTGTCATTCTTAAAAAACATTCCATCATCCACCAGTTCCACGATGAATACATCCTTTTCAGAAGAAAGAAAAATTCTAGGAAAAAGTGATAGATTGAAAGAACATGAAGAGGAGAAATAAGTCATGCATTTCTTCTGAATGTTTTGGGGAAGGTCCTCCACCTGCCTCTTTAACAAGAACTACATAAAAGGAAGCGTAAAACCCAATAGTACTAGTCTGATGATGCCAGAGTTTGACGATAGCAAATTTGTGCTACCAAAAGGGATAAGCTAAGCAGTCCTAATGGCCTTCTGGTGACATGGCTAATACTTTTCAAGGGATTAGGAGTCTGAACATGCACTGTTATATGCATGGCTTATCTGGGATACTGTTGCCTTGTGGGCTTTGGGCAGGAAATTCTGAGATGGAAACTACTGTAATGAAGTTTCATTGTCCAGAAAAAGCCCAACAGGTGCAGATGGTCAGGTGGGGAAAGCCCCATCAGAGCCAGGTGAGAGAGTCCTACTTGTCAGAATAACCTCCAACCTCTTGAAACTGATCTAGTTGGGAAACACTCTCTTATTCTACACATCAGGTGAGGCTCACAGCAAGTCTGAACACCCAGATGTGTGTGCACCTGTGAAAAACACACTGCCTGGTAAAACAGATTCCATTTCCTAAAGAAAAATAGTCCTGTGATTGAAAATTAAGGATTTATATTTCAAAGGTTAAGGGTAATCTATAGAAATTATTTCTGATAAACAAAGAAGCATAGAATTTACTTTTTTTAAATTATCTCCTGGTAAATCTATGTGCAATATGAATTCTTCTAAGGCAGCTGAAGGAACAGAGAAAGGCTGCTGTTGGCAATCCACGGAAGCAAACTCCAACGCACTCAAATAAACTAATGTGATGCCTGAGGGCCTACAATACACAATTACTGTGAGGAAAGAAGCATTCTCCATTTCACAGACAAGATCCTCAATGTCCTTGATAAAACTAGCTGGAAGCTCTTTCTTCTCTGAAAGCACAGGGCTTTTGCACGAAGTAACCACTCAAAAAAAATATTTGCTGTGTGAATGAACAAAAGTGTATTCACCTCTGAACCTAGACATCATTCCCTTTCACTGGCTTTGGCCACAGCAGTGGGGGAGGACTTGAACAATATCTGAAAGGCAGACTTAAGGGAGTTCAAGGACCACCTAGAAAACAACTTTGGCCCTAGGGAGAAGACTGTCACTTGGGAACGGACAAAATAATGGCTAATGACAGATTCTAAAAGCAGGCATTTTCATTCCAACCCATGTACTACCAAGGTTCCTTCCAATATGACTCCTGTCCTTCGGAGAACATCAGAAAAAAAGTAAAGGTATCCTCCTCTAGACTAATTCCATAATCTTACCTGCTAATCCTGAGTTGAAAACCACTGTGGGGGAAGCTGTGCCAGGCAGTGGGGGTGCTGATGGAGGAGGCGGGGTGGTAGAGGAGTTGGTGGAGTGTCAGCAGCTGGTCCTGGGAGAGGAGGTGGTGGAGGCGGTGGTGGGGGCGGAGGAGGGGGTGGTGGCACAGGGGCTGTCACTGGGCCATTTTGAACTAGCCAGGGGAAAGAAGAAACAATTTAATTGAGTAGGTGGCAGAGAGATGAGAAGGTTTACTCTTCAGGATCTTCTCTCAGCATGACTGAAAACAAATATCTAAGGCAGGAAGTTCTTAATCTTTTTGTATCAAGATCCCCTTTGGCAGTCTGGTGAAGACTGTGAACCCCTTCTCAGAAGAATTCCTTAAATCAAAGGAAATGCAAAATTTTCAGTTAAAGGTTAGGGAAATAAAATATAATTGTTTCCCCCAAGTTCTCAGGTCCCCTGAAAGCTATCCATGAACCCCAGGTTAAGACAGCTAATCCAAAGAAGACGGTAAGTTTCCAGTGGATTCTCACTGCATTCAAACTTCTAAAGTCAAAAAGTAACAAGAAAAGATGAATTACACAAGCATTTGAAAGCCCTCAAATGTAAAGGCAAGGAACATGTCTCATATGTGGTGTAACCATAAAGCAAATAGATGGTTAATTTATCTTTAACACACTCTGTCACTTCCAGGACCATTTAAGCCGAAATCTTTTATTTCCTTGTGATGTACAAATGACTCTTGAGTTCTTAAGGGCCATGATGTCTGAGTGTAAACTGACAGAACTAAAACCAGGAAAAGTTTTGGCGTGGGCCCCCTGGTACTGACTTGTCTGCTGTCCAAGGATTAGCCAGACTAAATTCATAGAGACACATCCCCTGGTCATAACCAAATGAGCTGCTCTGTCCGAAGCAGCTCATTACCATCAACTGTCTACTGTGGCATAGAGGGGATTAGGGTCTACAATGGCAAAAAGCATCCCCACAGCAATGAAGCTTTGAGCAGGTATACCAAAATTTATATATACAAATGAGTACCCATTGAAGAGGTCTACACACTTACAGTAATGACCCAGCCACTGTTTCATTCCTCCCCCCCAAAAAAACATCCTGGAAACTTCCTCTTGGAAGTTGCCCAAGAATCAGTTTAAAATTCCCCCACCTCCACACAATTCTCTTGTTACTTTGAAATGATAGCTAACATTTACATAGGTTTTCAAAACACTTCAAATATTATCTCTTTTGACTCTCAACAAGTCTGGGAGGTAGGTGCTACCATTGCTCCTATTTGACAGATGAAACTGAGGCTGAAAGCAGTTAAGGGTCACACTATTATTAAGTGTCTGGGGTGTGATTTGAACTCAGGTTGATCCTGACTCTAAGTTTAGTGCTTTTACCCACCAGACCACCCAGATGCCTCATTTCTGACATAAAATCATAAAGCCTACCTTAAGTATTCATGTTATTTATTAGACTTGATTTTGAATTACTCTTGGCTATTTCTAAAAATTAAAAAAAAATCAAGTACATGATACAAAAACAGCAAGTGTCATCAATGAGGAGGATATTCAAAATAATGATAACATTTATATATGCATATATATTTATATAGTGCTTTAAAATTTACAAAGCATTCTACAACAACCCTGAGGTAGGCAATACAAGTAAGATTAACCTCATTTTATAGAGGAGAAAAGTTCTGGGAAGTTCACCATCTTATCCACAGTCATATAGGCACGAAGTGGCCAGACTAGGATTTAAATCCAGGTCTCACTAACTCCCAAGCTAAAGCTCTTCCTCCCAGCGACAACACACAGCACATTCTGAATAATTTTAAAAGAGGAAATCAAAAGGTAACTCCTACGAATGAGGTCAATGGTTAGATGATGGTTATTGTTCACTCATGTCTGTCTCTTAGTGACCTTATTTGGGGTTTTCTTGGCAAAGTTACTTGGGTGGTATGCCATTTCCTTCTCTAGCTCATTTTACAGATGAGGAAACTGAGGCAAACAGGGTTACATGACTTGCCCAAGGCCACACAGCTAGTAAGTGTCCGACGCTAGATTTGAACTCAGGAACCTTCCTGACTCCAGGCCCAGTGCTCTATCTACTGTGCCACCTATCTGTTCTGGTTAGATGGCTAGGGTCTGTTAAGTTTCTCTTCTTTCTTTTTTTAAAAATCAGTCACATTACTTTACCTTTACCAGCCATATCTTACTTGAGCTGCACAGTGCTCAGGGCACTATGAACATTCAAATATCGTACAAGATTTTTTTTTTTAATTTAAAGCATTCTTTATATGAGAAAGCAGTAACAAAATACAAACTGAATGAAAAAAAATGGGGCTACCTCTTTAATCATCTGCCCTTTGGAAGTCAGACTACAAACTCTCAAGACCATCACAGCTAAGTTGGGCAATGACCTTCCCACTGCTACTACCAATTTCAGTTCTTAGGGCTTCTTACCTGCTTCTGATGCTGCTGTGGATGGAGGTAGTGGTGGGGGAGGCGGTGGCGATGGTACTGAGGAAGGGGTTCCAGAGACTTGTCCCACATAGGCGTTAGGGTTAGCTGTTGCCTCTGCCCCTGCAGGCAATGTCCCAGAGGCCACAACTGGAAGGATGGAGATATCCCCATCCCCTTTCTTCTGGATTTTAATGGTCCCTTGTTTCTCCAGTTCATGAATCTTTTTTTCCAGGGTAGACTGCCTTTGAATGGCTTCTTCTTTTTCTTTGACCATTTTTCTCAATGTGTGAACTTGGGTGTTTGCGTCTTTGTAGATTTCCTGCAAAAGAACTCAGTCAAGAACCTATGACAGGAGAACCAGGACTGCTAGCAGCACTGTACTGGAAAACAACTGAGGGTGGCCCCTCTGAAGCAACATTTCTAAAATCTGAAGGTGAAGGTATAGATAATATATATTATGCAAAGCTCTATAAGAAACAAGGAAAGCGCTCATTACTGATATACAACATGCACCATATTTTAGTTCAGCGTTCATTTGTATATAATAGCACTTTACAGCAGTCAATCGCCAATTAGCCATGGGTGGAAAAGGAGCAGGGCACATACCATCCAAAAACAATTTTAAATTTTAAGTTGACTTTGGAACAAGTCATATGATTTTCTTTTTCAGGTAGGTAATTGCCTTTCCTAATTGTGCTCTGTATCAGCTAATTATAAAATTAGGTTTCCCTTCCCAAGATTATACCAGGTGAAAAAAGGAAGGAAATGGCCCAAGAAGCATGCTGGAGGGAAGCCAGGTTGGATTCAAAATATACCCAGGGATAATACACAAAATAGATCATCTGTTCGTGAGTAATGAGGTTGACTGCACTTGGTTTGTTGCATAGATACTTCTACTTTCTCCCTGGCCAAGATTCAGGGCTTACTATTGCTTATCCTCATTTTCTAGGGGGTGATGTGGATAACAAAGTAATCCAAAGACTTTATCACCCAGTGATCATTTCTAGAGTCCAGGTTTTAAACAGAAAAGAAAGTTACTACCACTTTAAACAAATACAACCCTCCTCCCCCAACCTTAGCCCCTTCTTAGGGGGGTCTGAAGAGGGCCTTGGGAGAAAGTTCATCCCATGTATAGATCATACTTGCAGGGACTTTCATGTGTGATCTCTTAGCCTAGACCTCCAGCAGACAGTCAAACATTCTTCACACCCTGTCTACTATTAACAACGTGGGGATCACAATGTGAATTAAGTCCATATGTTAAAACTTGGTTTCTATGGCATGCCAGAAAGTAAACTCGCTGGAGTTAACTGCAGGACATATAAAGATATCTAGCAAAGCACCTAGATTTAATTATCGCATAAGACCTGTGTCATTTTTTACCAACGGTGTGTGTAAAGTGCAGGCTATGAACTAGAAGCCTTTGACAACCTTTGTCTTTTTATGCTACGCATAGCTCCAAGCACATGGCTGGCACTTCAGAACTACTTAAATCACCATGGAGAACAAAAGCAATGCCAAATAAAATATCTGAGCTTGTTGATAATAAAAGGGATTTATTTTGAATTTTTCGTTAGATGCCAATGAGTCCTGTCTATGTTATGATTTCATTGTTTCCATGGCAGCCAAGAAATCTGGTTTCAAATGGAATTAAAGAAAAGCAATGCAAAGAAATTTAAATCCTAATAAAAAAAAGTGGCACCAATCAGATTCATATTGTGTTTATATTTCCAACCAAATGCAATACTGCACACAACTGGCTCATGCCATTGCCAGATGGGAAAGGATGGTTAGTGCCAATCCTTTGCTAAGAAAATACTGAACTCCTAGTACCACGTTTCACACATTTAGGTATATCAGCTCTTGCTCTACATGTCCACTTATGTATATATCATCTCATCTTATAAACACGTTATATCATTCTATTCTCCTGAAAATGATTTATTCTACATCCAACTGGATGAAAGCTTAAAATCACTCTCTGGAATTTTGCATCTGGGCAAACTGTCATTGTCATACTTACTCGGACGACATCCAACTCCTTGTTTCTCTGCATGAGCTGTTTTTCCAGTTCCACAATCTTGGCCATGGCTTCATTCTCTGTGTCTTGCAGCTTTTCAGATAACTGGAAGAGTTTGAAAAGGAGCTACATCACTATACAACATGGTCCAGACACACAAAGAGTTATCTCCTTCTAGGGTTCAGAAAACCCTTCCCACAATGTTATCCTGCCTTAGGGCAGTAATTCTCAAAAAATATGATGAGTACACCATGAGAGTTTCCTAAGTCGTCACTGGATTATCACAGATTATTAAGATTTATAGTATGATTATGTCTATTTTTTCCATGGGCAAGAACAATTACTTATGATAACTATAAATAGAAATAAGTTCATGAATATTTCATCAAAAGCAGTCCTCCTTCTACTCATTCTGATGAAGAACAGTGACCTATGGGGTTTCCTGCCCCTACCAAAGTGGGTCAAGGGCTATTTGAAAATTGTTGATTTGGGAAACTTTTGATGATAGGCACCTAGCATAATAATTATTATAGCTTAGGGTCTACCCAAAAACTAAAGTCACATTTCTGGAGGGCAGCCCAGATAAAGGCATAACTTGATGAGTCTAGACATAGATGTGGGTTCACCAATTCAGTTTAATAAGCATTCATTAATACCATTACGTACAAGGCACTGTTATAAGCAATGGGGACACAATGACAAAAACAGAAAAATAATCCAACTCAACAAGCTTTCATTTTTCTGATGGGGAACAAAATATACTTGGATAATCAAATGTAAAATATATGCCAAATAATGATGGTATAGGGGATGCTAACAATTAAAAAGGTTATATGAGGTGGCATTTGAGACACACCTTGAATGGAAGATGGGATTCTAAGAGGTGAAACTGGGTAAGAAATATATTCCAGGCATGAGACCTAGGCAAAGATAAGGAAGCAGGAGACTGAACGCTAAATATATGGAAAAACAAGTAAGACATTTTATACAGAATACAGAGGGCCACTGGTTATCTTAAGGATACAGACTACGTGATGCTGGCAGTAGTTTTATAGGGGGGTGGGAGATTCCATCTGTCAAAGACTTGCTTTGAAATGAACTACTGACAGCATCTTTCAGTCTCCTAGGTCTCCCTGCTAACGAAAAGTATGCCACCTCTCTTTGTAGACTGATTTACAACCAGAAAATGAAGTATCGAAGACACTGATTGAAAACAAATGGAAAAAAAAAGACATACGTGTGTGTGTGTGTGTGTGTGTGTGTGTGTGTGTGTGTGTGTGCGCGCGCGCATGTGAAAGACAGACACACACACAGAGACATAGAAAGCCAGAGACAGACAGAGGAATGGGGAGAAGAGGGAGAGAAGGAAGAGAGAGAAAATGAGAATTTACAGTGCTGCTATTTGGAATGGAGGTCTTTCAGGAAGGAAATGCTGAGACTGAATTCACATTTAGATATATAGGGAGGTGTTACTGACTCAACTACTTGGTTTAAATACAAGCAATGAAGATGCCCATCTTCAGCTTGCTTTGATGCTCTGTAAGGGTACAGTGAGCAAATACCTGGATGATAATTTTCTTGAGGAATCAAGGAGAAGATGGATTATTCCCAGAAGGGGGCAACACTATTCTTTGTAAGGAGGGAAAATGCCTCAAGACAAATAACCTTGAAAGGTACTTCATTTCTTGTCAATAGCTCATATTTATCCATGAAAGGGTCTCACATATTTTCCCCTAAACTTAAGCAGTCTAAGCCTTCCTCCATCTAAAAGGATATTTCCAAAATCAAAAATAAATAAATAAATAAATGAAAGGATATTTCCTTCCCAATCAAAACAGACAAACATACCATCATAGGATCATAGATTTAGAGATGGAGGGGACCTCAGAGACCATCAATTCCAATCCCCTCATTTTACAGATGAGGAAACTAAAGTACATCGAGGCTGAGGAACCAAGCAGACCAGGATCGGCCAGCTAATAAGTGTCTAAGAGTGGGATGAACCCAAGTCTTCCTGACTTCAAGTCCAATCTCCAAAATATTATATACTATATAGTGCCATGGATAGCTAGGTAGTACAGTGGATAGAGTGCTGGGCCTGGAGTCAGGAAGATTCATCTTCCCGAATTCAAATCTGGCCTCAGACACTTACCAGATGTGTGACCCTGGGCAAGTCCCTTAACCAGGTTTCCTCATCTGTAAAATGAGCTGGAGAAGGAAACGGCGAACCACTCCAGTGACCTTGCCAAGAAAACCCCAAATAGGGTGAGGAAGAGTTGGATACAACTGAAATGACTGGACAATGACAACAAAATGCAATGCCTTATACATCACAAAGTGCTTCTTTCACAACAACCTTGTAAGATATTGATATTACAAGCACTGATTATCCTAATGTGGGGTTGGGGGAGAGCTGGGATTTGGACCTGTGATTTCATTGTTATGGAAAATTCATGAAGATTGGCAACTCATAGGGAATTAAGAGTTTTCAAGTTTCCTAAGGGTACTAAGAGATTAACTTGACCAGGGTGACACAGTTATTTAATGTCTGAGGCAGGTCCTGAATGTAGGTTTTTCTCAATTGCAAGGCTGGCCTTCTACTGATTCGCCACCCTTCGACTACCGCTTATCCTCATTTTACAGACAAGGACATGGAGACTCAGAGAAGCTGTGAATGCAAAGACTAAACTCGAACTCAGGTCTTTTGACATCAAGTGCAGGACTTCATTATTCTACGCAGGTTCTCAAAATTAAGCCTTGCAGTTTAGAGCTCCTACTTTGACTCCTCAGTCTGCCTGCATTCAAATGAAAAGCCACCTAGACTTTCTCAAACTGTTTGTGTTTTAGCGCACATGTTCGTGCAAGAAGCCACAAGAACTCCAGTACATTTGTATACAACACTAAATGGTGCTCTGCCCCGCTACGAGGAATTTGTGATTTCTGCACAAATGAGAATTTCTGGTCCATAAGACAACACTTTATGGCTCAGGTTACCAAGTGATTCCAGCTGCAGCTTCAAATTAACTGAAACAAATAACTTGGGGCCCATTCACATTCTCATCCAGTTAACTTTAGTTAGCAGTAACGTTGCCTTCTGTGAAAGCTCTCTGCCTTAGAAAGGAGAGATGGTCTGCACTCTTGGATTTCTTCATCATTTCCTTCTCCAGTTCATTTTGCATATGAAGAAACTGAGGCAGACAGGGTTTAGTGACAGGCCCAGGGTCACACAGCTTGTAAATGTCTGAGACCAGATTTGAACTCAGGGAGAAGTATTCCAGACTCCAGACCAGCCACACTATCCACTATACCACCTAGCTGCCCATGGCACTATATAAGTGTGTAATACCTGGAATCTACCAGAATGGTTTTCAGTGTTCCCATTCAGATGGTTCTGGGCCCCAACTACTCTTCTACTCTTCCCGAACTCTGCATGTTCATTTCCTGGAAGATCAATCTTGTTCCTAGTTTTATGCACAGTGAAACACAAGTGAGGCCTAGATTTTTTTTGTTGTTTGTTTGTTTTAGGGGAGGGGGGGACGTATTTACATGAGAAATGTTTTCTTCCAGTTCTTCAACCCTCTCCAAGGCTGCATTCTTGGTTTCCGCATCTTCCAGCAAAGCTCCCACATCAAATACGTTGTCCAGGTAAGCCTGAATCTGCACCTGAAGCTTGTCGCTTTCTGTATGTTTCAGCTTCTGAAAAAGCATGTGGTCAATTGGAGCAGGATTGGAAAGAGGAAATAAACAGTGGCCATTCACCCCACACATTTCACTTGTTTTGTTGATTTTTTGTCAAAAATGCCCAGCCCTCCTTCAGCCCCTCTATAAGAGTTACACAGGGTCATCTCCAAGGTCATGTGGTCATTCAATAAATCACTGCCCTTCACCCCAATGTGGAATATGTTTATATAGGTGAAATGAGGTTAAAATGAAATATCAAAAACAGCATTAAAGAGGGGGGAGACATCCAAAGTGTAACCTGAAATCTAAGGAGATTTTTGTATTGGGCAGGGACTTCTGGCTGAGTAAAAGGTGGGAGGTTAGATAGCTTGATTCTACAGTGAATGCAAGGCTTCTTGATTAACCCCTTGAGTCACAACCTGGCACCAACCACTACAGTCCTTCAAAGCATGGTCCCTAGGAAACTGCTACCAAAGTCACCACAACCAAAGGATGCCTCCAAGACTACAAACAGAGCAAAAAGAAAGAACCTGGCGTTTCTTTCCCATACTCAGTGTAAACTATTCCCTGATGCCAATGAAGATTAAGTAGAATAATATAATAGAGTGCTGGACTTAGAGGCAGAAAGACTCAAATTAGAATCTTGTCCAGACAGCTACTAGCAGTGTGACCCTGGGCATGTCACTTAACCTTTCTCAGAGTCAGTTTTCTCATCTATAAAACAGGGATAGTCCCAGAATAGCACATCATTCTACCCCAAGGGATCAAAGTCATCAGCTGGAGAGTGAGATAGAAGTCTTAGATTCTAGGAAAATCCATGCTTCTGGGTCCCCCAAGACCCTCATTTTGTTTCGAAGGACAAGGGGGACATTAAATTAAGGGAATGGCTACTGCAAGCATTTCTTCCATTCCTTGGGTGTGAGTGGATTCTAGTCCTGCAAGCTGCAGTTAAAAAAAAATGCTAAATTAGTTCCTGGTGATTTTCAAATTTTGATTTCATGTGCAGAAAAACATAACTCAACACCAAGGATTAAGATCAATGACCTCTGGGGGGGGGGTCGCTTGCAAACCCCCACTGGCTAACTTTGCAGCCCCCTCCCCCCTTTGTTTAGAGACTACGTAATCAGATTAATGAGGGTGTGACTAGCAACCAAGATTTAGACAGTTGCAAATAGATGAGAAATCAAAAAGGAAATTTGAGGTTGGGTGCTCTAGACTATTCATAAATAAACTACTGTCAGGAGCTGATAGCATAATACATTATGCTTTATAAGCAGATTCTGCAAAGTTATACCCTGCAGGTATCCCAGGGGCATTTAGGCTGTCTCAACCCATTTGGGAAGTTTCCTCCAGACTTCCTAAATCAGATTATGGTGGAATCTGAAGTCTAAAGCAGGATATAGGAACTCCAGCGACAAGGTAGGCACTTTGCAAGGGAACATGAAGTAATACAGATATGGGGCCATGCCTCTTCATACCCCTGCTCCCAGAATGAAAACCTTCTGAAGCGGTAACCACCATCTAAAATAAAATGTGTCAGTTCCTGGGTAGGTTTCCCAAGTTGCTTGCAGCTTTATCTGTATGATATAACCATTTGCTATTCACTTGCAGTAGTCATGGTCTTTGACTTTTACTGCCCAGAAGATGTCCTGGTATAGCTCAAAGCTTGCACAGTCCAGTAGTCTGGACTCAGAGTGAGAACACAGGCTGGACTGGGCCCTCAGAAGCAGCTGCAGTTGTAAACAGCTTAGGGCATGTGCTGAGTTAGCTAACTCTGCTACTAAGAGGCTGCTGCTGGCAAGAGACAGACTGGGGTCTCAGGAGCTCTGAAAAGAATCCAGTTTTATTGGCAGAGAAGCTCACAGAAGCAGAAGATCACGCAATACCCCGATTTGATCCCTTTAGCCAACATGGCAGCAGTTTGCTGGACCATATTGAGGTCCTGATTGGCTGATTAAGAATTGGAGAGTAATCAAACTCCTTTCACTTTGGAAATATGCTAATTAGAGCTGGTCACATAAATCAAATGCCACACTACAGGCCTGTGGTCTCAGTAATACTCACATCCAAGTATTCATCCAGGCCTAATTTGGTAAATTCATACTGGAGGTGAACTCTGAAATTCATGTCTTCAACTGAATGGACTACAATGTTAATGAACTGCATAGATGCCACCTGAAAGGAAACGAACTCAAGGTTAGAAGCACTCCAGCATCAGCCCCATCGTATGCCTTCTCCACCCAATCCTGTGGGGAACCTTTTCCAAGAAAACAATTTCTCATCTGACAATTCTGCAACCCTATTTTCATTCATTTCTCATCCTTGCCAGTGTGTGATGCTGAGACCTTTATACTATCTCCCCCTCTCTAATGAACTCCTAACCACAACTCCATACTAGTACTGATTTTACTCCCAAATTCCCTGTGTCCACCTTCTAACCCTACAATCCTCCCAAGATTAACTAGGTTCCCACCATGGAAAATGCTGTAATATAGATCACTCAATTCCATTTTCCTTTTGTGATAGAGAAAGATATTTTTACAAAACATAATTAAAGATAACTTGATAACTATTTTCCCCAAGGCTGTTATATTGTAACATTGTACCAAGAAAGCTTCAGCCCTTGAGGAAAACTACATTTACTTTCCCTCTAAGAATGAGTCCCATCTTCTGGGTTTCATGAATGGTTTCCCTGGTACATATTCTTCCTGTATGTAGGTCATCTATTGCTTAGTTGTAGCTGCTTATGTCTTTAAGGTACATAGTCTCCCAGGCCACAAGGGTACTTATTAGTTGCATAGAATACTAGAGTAACCACAGGCCTAGGAGAGACTAGTGCCCCATCTGCAAAATGAAGGGACTGGACCACATAAGCCCTAAGATTCCTTCCAGTTCTGATAGTCTGCATTTCTAGGTTATTTATAAAGATTCCATCACTGGTTTGTTGCCGTTTCCATGCTGAATATAGACAAGCCAACAAAACCTTACTTTACTCACAGAAATTAGAGCTAAAAGGGAACTTGGAGGTCAGTTTGTCCACATTTTCCATCTTACAGATGAGACAAGTGATGAGCAGAGAGGAGGAGCAATTTGATCAAGGCCATAAAGGTAGCAAACAGCCAGGATTTGAACCCAAATTCTCTGGTTTCAAATCCTATGCTCTATATTGCACATGTATAACCTATATCAGATTGCTTGCCAGCTTGAGGGTGAGGGGCAGAGTGGAAATGAGGGAGGGTGAAAAAATTTGGAACTCAAAATCTTATAAAAAATGAATGCTGAATACCATCTTTACATGTAATTGAAAAAAAAATACTATTTACAAATCCTGCACTCTTTCCAGCTTATAACTATTCTAAATGATTCTAAATGATATTGCATTATACCTTGTAGGAAGAACTTTCTAGAACTGAGGCTATTTAACTAAATCTCAACACCTAGGCAGGTCATACAATGTCCTATTTCTGGAAGTTTTAAAGGTTTGGGGCTTTTTGATTGTTCTGTGAATGTGTTCCTCCTCCCTTTTTATAAGTAGATTTAAATGACCTGTTGAGGACCCTTCCCTTCAGCCCGCTCTGATGAGGGCAACTAGGGGAAAAGAAGAACCCAGCTGCATTTCACGAGCACTCTTAACTTTCCTTTACTGCAAGACTCAGGCTGTTTCTCTTCTAAAGTGATTTGGTACATACCATTTTAAATAACATGTAGCTCTAGTTAAGACCAGATGGTGGTAGCAAAGATTTCAAATGTTCACCTATTTGCCATTAACCACGTACTGTTCTGCACAGCAGAGCTGCCATATTTTTAATAAGCTCAGTGACAAAAGGAAGCAACCCCACTAAAGAGTAGAATGAGAAACATAAATGCATTTGTGAGTGAAGGTGCAAGCATGCCCTTGGAGATATATATTTCATAGTTTTATGTTAGAAGCTTTCATTCAAACAATGCCTGCATATGTACATAATGGAAAGGGTGAACACTTTTCTTTCAGCACGTGAAATAGGCAGATGACTGACATGTGGATGTTTAAACATTCCTAATACAATTAACAACTTCGGCCCAATTAGGAAGGCTCAAAGGAGTTTCTGAATTGGACTAAGGTCCCAAACTACTGGGGGGGGGGGGAGAGAATCCAGAATGTGGACTCTGTACCTCTTTAGAAACCATTGCCAATGTTAAAAATTCACTGAAAAACATTAAAGCATCTCAGTAATTTCCACAGATTAACAAAGATACTCAGTGTATGGTGATTCCTAGTATCATGTCATAGAAAGTTTTTTTAAAAGCAGAAGCTTAAAAAAAAAAAGCAGAAGCACAAATACTGTCAGATTATGTACCTTTCCTAAACTTCTCTTTTCCTCTCTGATTTTGCAAAGTAATAACAGAACAAGAACACACATACACACACATGCAAAAACTGAGGAACTATAAGTGGCAAAAATAAAACAATATTATTGTTTTATAATTATTTATTATTAAGTGCAGGTTAAACATCTGTGATACATCTTTCCCATATTTTGCTGTTAATAGTAAAAACCACAAGAAATTTCATTAAGGCGAATTGGTCCTTTGTCTGATGTCCCATACCCAGGAATGAACAAAGTGGTGACTTTCCACATGAGTGACCCAGGTGGCTCAGGGGCTGCCGTGGGGAGTCAAGCCCAGACAATGTCATCTCTGGTCCAGGAGAGATTCGCCAGAGGAAAGTGAGTTAGGTCAGGGAGAATCTGGCGGTCTGGGTCTACTTCTACTCTGAGGCCCTTTACTTCAGAAAATTATGCTCAGTGGTTAACTTATGAGGATCAAGACATTAATTAATGTGCCATCCTATTCTTTTACTGCCTGCTGGAGACTTGGTTAGTGTTCCATTATATGTTCTTTCATGTGCACCGGCCTGCTAGAAAAGCCTGGCAGATGACTGATGCCTGATTGAAATTATTCTGTGTGTATGGAAAAAGGAGGGTAGTAGGGGGGAGCAGGGGAGAAACACAAAGCTATTTAAATCTTATAATGCCCTCCAATAAAACTGCAATCATTGGATTATTAATAGACGTCTATCAGAAGCTCAAGTTACAAAAATGCATTCTCTTAAGCACTTCCATTTTTGAAATGTTTATCAACATATCCACCTCATATGCCAATATATTATATCATTCTTCACGTCTTGTGGCAACAGGATTTTGATGGTTTATACCGTATACCATCAGCTTGGCCAGTACCAACCAAAGAATGCAGATGTTGCTAGACAATGCCAGCTCTTGCTATAAGTGCCATGTGATGACAGATGTAGGATCGTGCATGCCTTTGTGGGCAAGAAGCACTGGGCCTGAATTCTCTTTTTCCCAACTGTGAATCTTCCTCCCATATGCTGCAAAGTTGCTCCTAGAGTCCTTTTTATGATATCATGCAATATATATGATACAACAAAACATATTCATGCACCAAAGGAAACTGATAAATTAAAATAGACATTCTGGGGTCTAACAATAACACACTACACTCTCGTTTCATTATGTTTGCTATGAATACATCATCTACATGTTCTCCCAAAACGGAGAAACTTTGTGTAACAATACATTGAATTCACTGCTAAAATAACTTACCATAAAATCTATGTTATTATCTTCATTTCTGAAATGTTCCATCAGCTTCTCAAAGCGCTGTTTTTCTCCACAAACCTGAAAAGACACACATATTTTCACCATGTATGTAAAATCTCTTTCCAGGGAGTTTCAAAATCACATTCAGAAATGATTAGAATTAACAGGTCTTTCCACAAAGTCAGTATTTTTTCTCTTTTCTCATAGTGTACAATTCTTCTCTATGTTGCCCTGACTCCCATATCTGAATGTGGGCCAGGTTAAAAGTATCACAAAGCAATATTAGGTTTTCTCTGCATGCTGCTCTGATAGTCTAAAACTCTTTTTCAATCTGTTTTTGTTTCACTGGCAGCCTGTGTGAACCACCTAATTCTGAAATATGTGCCTAGACCCTAGAAAATTGTTACATGGTGAAAAAACAAAGAGCAGAAATGTTTGCAAAGTCATTTCTAAAATTCTTGCTTCTCAAAATGCTCAGACTCTTAGGGATAACTCTGAGATGGACTCTTCCAAGAGGAGTCAATTAGACACATCTGAAAGTGTATTAACACTTTCAGTCCACAGGGACACTGCAGGGCAGGAGACCAATCAACTAAGAAGTAGGGGCTCGAAATGTGTAAACACAGATAAATAATGGACATACTAGAGGACTGTTGTTTTAAATTTAGCTTCTCTGATTGCCACTATGTCAATCAGTCAGCCAATCAACAATTTATTAAACAATATGTGTCAGACTAAACACCAGGGATATAAAAGGAAGGGAAAACAGTCCCTGCCCTCAAGGAGTTTACAATCTAATGAGGGTAACACCACATAAATCAATAGATATAGGTAAGACACAGAGAGTCAATGGCAAGTGATTTCAGAAAAAAAAGGTTCTAGCATCTGAGAAGCCCAGGAAAAGCCTCCTGCAGCAGGCAGAGCTTAATCTTGAAAGAAACCAAGGATTCTAAGAAGTAGAGGTGAAAAGGGAAAGCATTTCAGGTAGAATAGATGTGTCTGAGTCAATACAAAAGTAAAATATGGAGGGTGGAATGTTGAGTTCAAAGAACAGACAAGTGGGAGCAGTATGGCTAGATCACAGAACATGTGGAGGGCAGTAAAGCATAAGAAGAGTCTATTGAGCACATGAGCACCAAGATGAGAGAGATTAAATGGTTCACACTGCAACCTTATAGAGACCTACTCTAGTCATCAAAGAGCCTCTTTAAAAGTTCAAATGAAATGTAATGGTTCTTTTTTTTTTGTTGACTTCCTCATCTCTCCTTCTTCTACCCATATCACATCTCCAAAGGCTGATTCTAACAGACACCACTAATACCTGTTAATATGTCACAGATTTAATCCAAGGGTTTACATCTCTAAAATGAGGGGGACCTCCAACATCCCTTCTTGCTTTAACATAAACCCTATGTTAAATTGATACCTGAACCATAGAAAAATAAAGGATTCTGGTTAGAGCATCCCATTTTCTAATTCAATTTCTTCAGTACTCAGAGGATTTCTGATTTTATTTGTATGAGGGCACCCCCTCCACTAATGCAAATTTTGAATCTTACATACTTCAGGATATGGCTACTATAGCCAAAACATTCATTATCTATCAGTGTTCTCTCCGCAGGATATTTCCTTTTTAATCTTCTCCAAATCTTCATTTATATAAAACATTGGATCTCTGGGTTTGATGCTACTGGATTATGAACTCAGAATAGAATCTATATTTTTTTAGGGTAGGGACTGCCTTATTCATCTCTGTTTCTCCCTTAATGCCTGGTATAGTGCACTGAACTCAGTAGGAGTTTAATTTACATTTGCTGATTGAAAGAATAGTCCTTTGTTGTACAACATGGGACCTATATTTAAAGTCTGTCATACTTGGTAAGATCTGCCAGAACTAATGGGTCTCACAGAACCTAGGGTCATCTCCCCTGCCACAATGAGGCATTGTAGTAGGACTTCAGCAAAGAAAACTCAGGGATATTATGTCTTAAAAAGTCATCCCTGAGGAATTTTCTACTGAATATGAACTCTGCAGTGACACTTCATTGCTATTTATTTAAGCTATGCCAAATTAAAGGAAGTGAGGGTATATTGCTTAGAGAAGGGATAACCAATTGCCAAGTCCCCCAGTGGGGGAATTCATAATTACCTTAAAATGTATAAAGTATTTATTACATTAGAGGAGGAGGAACTGCTATTCTCCATCTTTTTTTTTTTAAGGAAATTGGGGTTAAGTGACTTGCGATGCGTCACACTGCTAGTAAGTGTCAAGTGTTTGGTCTGAGGCCGCATTTGAACTCAGGTCCTGCTGACTTCAGGACCAGTGCTCTATCCACTGCACCACCTAGCAGCCTCGATCTTTTCTAAGGATGCAACAATGCTCATATTTCAATAAAGACAAAATTAGCACAAAGACTGTTAGCCACAGAAGTGGGTTACAGAGCAGGTCATAATACCAAGCAAGAATCATAAATCTAGAACTAGAAGGTACCTCGGAGACCATCTAGTCCCATCCCCTCAACAGAACAATTGTCCTATTAACATGTAACAATTGACAAGTCCATGCATACAAGTTAGTTTAGGAATGACCTAATATGGATTCATCTATGAGGGATTTCTAGCTCTAAAACTGTTCCACTTTTTTCTTTTCCTCAAACAATTATATTTGCTCTACACAACACTAGTGCCTTTCACTAGATATTAATCGCCACCTACACAACTTGGTGGCATCAGTATGACATCAGGGCCCAGTTTATGAGGAGTCTGGAAAGGGGGACTGAGATAGAAGAATCTCAGTGTAGAAGACTCTAAAATAGGTTTGTCAAGACTACTCTGCACAGAATCCAACCATCCCTTTCCAGTCTGTGCAGATGTAAGCCATGGACCCAGGTGTCACTGACAGTGCAAGAGGGTCCCAAAATACACTCAAATATTCATCTACAACCAACTCTTTCCCCCAGCTCCATCTATGAGCCTCACCCTCACTTGTACTAACCTAGAAACTTAGTGGAATCAATCCATGGGCACAATCCAGAAAACTGTCATATTACTGTAGGTACACATTAACTAGCTCAACCAACCAATGAATCAACAAAAAAGTATTTAGTGTTGACTGTGTGCCAGACACTATGCCAGGACCTGGACGTAAAGCTTTAAAAATTAAATACAGGCCCAACCCTCAAGGAGCTTAATACTCAATCTCTGAAAAAAGCATAATATGTAGAATTATAAGAGTTGAGTTTAAAGTCCAGTTCTTCTCCTCCCAATCGTTCTGATTTTGGGGAAGTCACTTTACCCCAAAATGAGAATCCAGACTAAATGATATCTAAGGCACCTTTTGGTTCTAATGCCTAAATTTCCATGTTCTTATTTCCTTTTCCTGCCTCAGGCTACATCTTATACTACAAACGTCTTAGGTTCCATGAGCACCTAAGGACCCAGGTTAAAGGATTTATAACTTATTTAGAAGAAAAAATATTTCTTGCATATAAATCTTCAACTTGGAATCAGGAATGGAGAGTCTGAATCCTGGCATAAATATTTACTAGTTGGGAGATAACAAAGTCACTGAACTTCTCAAGACTCAATTTTTCCATCTGCCAAATGGGGATAATACCAGTACTCCCTAAATCACAGGTTTGATAGAATGAAAGCACTTAAAAAGTTTAAAGTGCTATATAAATGAGTTATTGAGTGCAATTTTCTCAACTGACACATCACAGGATCATCAATTTATAAGGATCTTAGTTAGCATTCATCTAGTCCAATGCCTCCCCTCCCCCCCATTTACCAAATGAAAAAACTGAAGCCCAAAAAGGTTAAATAACTTGCTCAAGGTCACACAAACAGTAAATGACTGAAGTGAAATTCAAACCCAGATCCCTGACCCCAAACCCACAGCTTGTTCTTCTATTCTGTATCCGGTGGCATGCAGCATGTGTTAGACCAATTTTTTCTCACCACCAGATTCTATCCCCGAAATACAAACCAAACAGCCCCTCAAATGAAACAAGAAAGGAACATGAGGCTGGCACACAATAGGGTCTGTCTGAAGATAACATGTGCAGAAGCTTGTGGTGATTCTGTCATGAAACCCAGCAAAGAGTAAGGAAAAGCACAAAGTCCAAGCCTGAGAGTGTCATCCTGATCTACCCCCACCCAAAAACAAAAACAAAAACAAAGCAAAATTTATTATCAGAGGTAACTTCCCAGTAGAAAGTAATGTTTTATAGTCTATAATATATTTGATAACTTCCAGCTTTTTCCATAAACATGCCAGTGATCTGAGCAATTTAAAATGTGAATACTCCAGTAAATAGTTTTGTATTCCAATGTGAGACTGCATGGTCTATTGGAAAAAGCATAGGACTTGGAAGCAGAAGCCATGGATTAAAATACAGACTCTCCCACTTACCATCCATGGCATCCCGGACAAGCCATTTATCCATTTGAACCTCAATGCCTTCATCTGTGAAATAAGAGTAATATTTGCGCCATCCATCTCACAGCATTGTTGTAAACTGAACAGCAGTTATTATTGCCATCCTCTTCATCACAGAGGGATGGTAAATGGTTGCAAATTTCCCTGGGATATAATCTGCCTTAACCGGCTTGCAGTGTTAGAGGAAGAAGACCAATTAACTTTTTCAATTAATCCTATGCTATTACTATAAATCAGATTCATCCCTAGCAATGAAATTACTTATGATGTTCTAATCCGCCAAATGTTAAAATGTCAACTTATTAACCAATTAACACTAGCTAATTTAGGTTAGGTATAAAAATGACTGATTGTTAAATGGATAACTAATCACTTTTGCTTGTGGTCTAATTAAAAGCAGGATATCCAACTGTCTGGGACAGTTTAAGTGATGTTTTTGTCTGCACATCTTTTCCAGGTCAATAACTCTATGAAGCAAGACTGCATTTCAATTGCTTGCTCCATTTGTTGATTTTAAACTCATACTCTCTTCTAATGCTAATAATGAACAAATTCCCCAGGGGTGTCATCAAAGGATTCCTTCAGTTTTATTTCAGAGGGTAAGGACATTGGTGTAAGGTAAGGACACGGGTTTCAT